TAAAATATGAAAGTCTGAATGAAACCCGATACTATATTTTGTTTAAAGATTAAATTTGAATTAAGACTATATTTTGTAGAAAGATCTCTACAGATTTATATTAGGTACTCTAAGCTAACAGTTCGTTACCAATTTACATATTTAAATATTGAACCTAGGTTTTTAAAAGGAGTCCAGGAAGTCCCATCGTAATCACTGTAACGTATATGGACATACCCATCGACAGAGTCCATCACTAAAGCTGACACCTTCGAATATATTACTCCGTGCCACTGAATCTAATCACAATCTGACGGATTAATATCTAACCGTGTTCCCGTCTGCTGGCTAAACCCACCGGCCATTTTGTGCCCCATTACTTTAACACCTTTAATCACACAACCCTATCACCTTAGCAATACAGCCTATATTTGCATGGACACAGCTCAGATTAAGCTGGTAGTTTAAAATATTGAGTGGGTTACATCCAGGGGCAATTGTGGAGATTTATTATACCTGAGTATTGTTTGAATTGTTATTTAATTTGGGATTAGATGAGTGATGGATGTAATGACAGATTAATGAGTTGTTATTAGGTATCTACCTACCAAAAATATATGCAATCATTGTTGACTACATTTGTACGTAGTAGTTGACCTTTCTTATAGATTAAAAAAGGGTAACGATGAGGTTTCTTGCTCGTCAATTCGAATATATTTCGAATTCTATACTTTGGAACGAACACATAGCTTCGCTGACAAACAGACTGACAGACTATTATTCTACGTTGATGTTACAAAATTACCTACCTATTTATGGTTTAGTTGGAATAAATGATTTGTGTTTAACTTATTCCATTACGTAGATAGATAGATAGCTACGTTCCTAAGTATGATTTAAAGTTTGCTTCTAACCTTTTTGTTTCAGTCACGATAACGAACAATTATAAATATTGAACATACCTACAAATTGAAATACTTAGTTTATTTTAATTATAAAAAAGTTAATTATTTAGTTTGGCAGCATTTTTGTTAATAGCGAAAGTCATCAAATGATTTTGGATGAAGTGCGAGAGGGATCAGGGAGTGTCAAACTCTTACTAACAAAAACCACCCTTTTCCTTCTTCTGATCGACGGTTAGGTAAACACCAATGTTATACCTACCTTAAGCATTTTTAAACTTTATTGAACAACTCTTTCAATCAAATTCACTATTTACCTACAAACAAATCTTAAAATTATACATACATAGGTGAAGATGTATGTATAATTTTAAGATTGATACACTTGTAGATACACGTGTAGATTAATACACTTGTATTCCAAACTTTATGGAGTTTATCCATTTTACCCTCTCATGTACCCTACTCTCTTTGTTTTGGGTATGGTAGGGTACAACGAGTTAAGGGTGCGGAGGGACTTGGCGCTGGTAGCGTATGTGGTGAAGCTGCTGCGTGGCGTAGCGCATAACCCGGGAGTGTTGAGACACCTGCAGCTATGTGTGCCAGACCGATATGTGTGGAGGCGGAGACGCCCGCCTCTCCTCGCTGTGCCGGCGGCCAGAACCAACTTACTGGCAAGGGCTCCTCTCACTAGAGCCATAAATGTAGTGAACAAAGTTCATGAAAGGGTTGATGTATTGTGTTGCAAAGTGGGTGAATTCGTAAAAGTCACGTTGTATATATTATGTTTTTCAAATGTTAATTAAGATTACTATATTATTATTATTTTTTTATTATTGTTATTTAGTAAGTAGTTGCACTGCTGATCTCGTGACTATAGTGTCGACAGTATTATATCATTTACTTTTATAGATTAATGTTAGCTTTTTAATGATTAAGTAATTACATACTCTTTGATTAAGTTAGTTATGTTATAGGTGGTATGTGCATTTTTAGTTTAAGAAGACAGGTAATGTATTTTCTTACTTCTTTTTTCTTTGTATCTTTTTAATCCTAAAGTTTAGTTCATAATTAAGGTGTTGTATGATTTCTTTTTGATTGTGTTATGTTGGTTTAAATTAGTAAATAATTACTTAGATTTAGATATAGGCCTAAGCTATCGCATTGGAGAAATCTGTAATGGTAGTATAAGGTAAGATTTTAAACAAATAAATAAATAAAAGATTTGTTTACCAAATGAGCTGGCGGATTATCTGGTGGCAAGCAATTAGTGCCGCCCGTGGACACTAGCAACAATAGATGAGTCAAGAGTATCGCTGGCTTTGTAGAGATAAAGGACTTGCAGATTATGGGATTTTGAAGATTGGGCATGAATGACGGGAGGGAATTGGGCCTCTGTTATCGTCACTCACACGTCGAAATAACGTAGGCGTTGTATCACGCCATTTTCTCAATTTTTTATGCGGTAGGATGGCAACACCAGAGGAGTCACGAGTGCCTTGCTGGCCTTAAAGGTTAAGGGCTTCGGATATTTAGAGAGTATGGAGTTATTGGGACAGGAGGAGTGGGCCTCCGGTCACCTCACTCACACGGCGAAACACAACGCTGTGGTTGTCGCACGCCGGTTTTCTGTGAGGACGTGGTGTAAATGCCGAAGCATGGCGCTATCAAGTATTGTTCTCGTTCATAAACGAAATTAAAGTTCAGTGCTGTACTGTGTAAGTAACTAAACTTTATTATCTACAATCGGGATCACAATGTTGTATATTTTTCTACTTACTTTTCAAACTTTTTCTACTATACTCGGAATTTTAATTCCATTCCAGATTATTTATATTAGAATTGCAACGTTATGACACGTAATAAATAGTGACGTTGCGAAATTATTCGATATGGAAATCGAATATTTCTGAATCGAGTCCTCTCGTTTATAAATTTACTCTCGTAAACTAAGTTTATCAGGAAATTATATATTTCTGAACCGATAATTTAGTTTTGACAATTAATTAACAATCTGAGACTTTTCTTTTGTAATTGTGTGTGAAATTAATAAAAAATGTGATCATGAAGGAACGTGACAAATAAAACAGACATTTTATAAATTGTCGCCGTCATCGCTATCGCTATTGCCGTTACTCTATGTAACATTTATTATGAATTGTGTCTTTGATATTTATTGTCAATTAACATATCTAGCTTACTCATTTTTTCCTCTTCTTCTTCTTCTTTGAAAACATGGGATATACATTTAGACCATTCGGTAGCCGTAATTTCTTGAATGCCTTCCTGAAACTGATTCACTGATTGTTTATCGATTTTTGTGTTCATCACTACACTCAAATCAGGAATCGAATTAAAAGTCTGACTATAATTACAACTAGATTTTTGTGTGTAGATTTGTAAGCACTCGAATCCTTGAACCCAAACACTATTCGCTTAACATTTATAAAAAGATAAATTAATGCTTTTTGTGCGGGGAACGTCCAATTTTTGTTAGTTTAGGGTGAAGCGAGAGAGAGGGTCAGATATTTTTTAGTCACTAAAACGCCCCGTTTCTTCTTTTTGTCCAGATCAAGCCCTGCAACCACGGCTGAAAAACTTCGCTGCCTGTACTTCTGATTTGAACACGTATATTTTGTTTCATCACGAATGAGCCGAAAAGCCCGACCGAAGTGATGCCATAATATGATATAAAATCAGAGTGAAAAGGGGCTTGCATTGTGTTTCGCCGTGTGAATTTCCGGAGGGCCAATCGTCCACTAATTCCTAATTCTCACATCCTTTAAACCCCAAATGTTTTTTGCTTGTCGTCAAGTGATCCGAGTGCTCGTTTACCAAAAAGGGGATAAAAACCAAGATGCAAATGTGACTAACAAAATTTATTGATTAGGTTTCGAGAGTTTGTTTCCTTTCTAAGAAGCTACTGGGCGTCCTACGACCTGGCCCAGTGACCTAGTAACGTGCACTAGAACTAGATGGTCGCTAAAAGGTGTGGAGTGCCGGCGCGTGCTCGACAGTCGATGTATCGACGTTTCAGGTCAAACGAGCACTGAGAGCCGCGCTCGGGCTTTGTAGGGAGGCGTTTGTATCGACAGTTTGCAAGGTAATTTTTACCTGTTAACTTAAATAATTAGTGTAAAAATTTATCTCGTGAATCGAAGTATTGAAATTTATTAATATTAAGAGATTGAAAAATAAAAGTATCAGTAGCTACAATTAATATTCAAAGTTAAATACATGAATACACGACAAGTTAAGTTTTTTTCCTATTTAAATCTATTACATGAAACACTTTTCCCCCCGTGTCGTGAGTGCGTTAACAAACGCAATTTCACAAACCCATCACACTCAGACTTGAAACAAAAATTTGTGTCATTCACAAATTGTTATTAACACTGTTCTTCTGTGTGAGAATTGTATCTACTTACCTTGCAATGCTGCACAGCAGCTCTCGGCACCAGCCAGCCAGCCACCGCGTGAACCTTGGTGTCTTATATTTTCCAGTTGTTTACAAACCATTTGTAACATCGACAATAAAGTTTCGATATCTCGGTAGTTACAGCTCTACCGATCAGTGTATAAGTGGTAGAGGGGCGCGAGGGCGGCAGTCAGCATTTTGCAAACGGGTTGAGTATCACAGGTGCTTGGCTGAGTGTGACGCGGGGCTCGAATGTGGGACAAGCCGATAATGGGCCGAGCCACGTAAGAGACGCTTCATTGGGGTTACTGTGCCCTTTATACCAAGTTCGGCCCTTGAAACAACAATAGAGATGAAAAATGTTGAAGTCTGTAGGTAAACTGCATATTTAAGTGGAAAAATAAACATAGACATTACATAACTTTTTCAGTTTATTCTTTTCGGTATTGTAATCACATCGTGCCTCCTATGAATATTCTATTTCTAGAGTTGCACAAGTATACAAATCGTAGTTCAGTTAATGTTTCACAAATTACAAACATGTTTTTTTACACGGATGATTTGCGAACTATTATTTTTATCGGAACGGACCCTACGGAATGCATCCCGTACCATTAGTAATAATTGTTTGGACTTGTAACTTCTTACATAACAATGTAACAAATACAAAGGTTTAAATGAAACACCAAAATAATGTATTTGTGGAAAATTTATTCGTGATATTCGAAGTAGTAAAATAAAAACTCTACTATCAACACGCTACACATCAGTGAGTTACCGCTATGTATGTCCCTATGTGCCCGCTCCGGAAAAGTGTTAAGGCACAAACACCTTACAATACCGCGACAATACCACTTGAGATAAATCAGCACAATTATCAACTTTAATATTTCTACACAGAGTTCAATTTAAAACTGTGGTACATTTGCTGCATTCTATGTTATAACAATTGACACTTATGGCACCGTGATAAAGTTCAAATTCTTGATTACAATCAAGTGATATTTGTCACTAAACTAAAGAGTAATCATGGTAATTATACACAAGATCTTTTATTAATTAGTTTATAGTACTTTGTTTTGTTTTACAAAGGAGTTTTTTTTTTAAGTTTGTATAAGAAACATGATTAATTCTTCGTCTCCGTTACTTCCATTACATTTCAAAGCACACGCTATCTAAGAAGACGTGATCTTCGACATCTGAAATCCGCAACTTTAGATCTGTACTTCATAAATACCTCCAGTCCATCACAAACTTACGAAAATACACTATGGGCGAATTATCCCCAATTCTCATGTTTACTCATTATTTTATGGTTTTAATCATATGTACTACAAAGTAAGTCAAAAGACAAATATTAAAATAAAAAAGAACATACAATGCGCGTATTTCCCGCAGCCACGATAAAGTATTGCCATCACTCGTGCTGGGTATTACGATAAATAAAAAATAGTTTTATTGAACTTCATTTAAAATGTTTATTTTTGGACCTGTTGATGTGAAATTCAGATGTCGAATTTCACTCATATAACTTCCAACATTCGTAAACGATGATAAAGCAATGACACTAATTCATATTTTCTATACTATTCGGAACTTTGTAAACGAGCTTACCAGTGGAGATATCAAACTTATACACTAAATACACAAATCATATAAAATATTAAAATAAATATCATGTATACAAAATAATAGTACATAATATAATAATTATACACACCATAACTTTTACAAGTTAATTACAAAATAGTTCATTGAGTTTTTGTTCATATTCTGATTAAAACGAATGATTTTTATTTTGTGCCAATTATGCAATTGTTTCAAGTTACCAAAATGATTTATTACTATTACCATTCGTTCTAACCAAAACAAAGAAAAAAATGATCAAATCATCATTAAGTAGCAAATAAACACTTTGGACGGAAATAAAATTAAAAAAAATGTTGCCAACGTATATATTTTGTCTTAAACTAATCATAATTCTATTCGCTTATGAGTAAGCAGTCTAAGGGAAATAAAATTCTACGTCAATATAATCAAATGTTATATAATAATAAAAACTATAAAAAACCTAATTACAAACCTTATACTAATTTGTATTATCGTATATTTCTTGTGATTAAAGCAATTACGACCTTATTGCGTGACATATAGAATCAATGTTATTCTAATGTCGTGTGAAATATATACGAGTATATTTTGGTTTTTGTATTATTGCAATATGGACCATGAATTTGATAATAGTAACAGGAGAAAGAAAATGCATTTAATAATAAAGGCAATGCATTACATTAAATGATCATTCTAGCGTAGAGATACATGATTAATATCAACAAAAGACATGAATACAAAGAGAAATGATCCAGTCTTTGAACGAAATTGAGAGAGAGAGGAGATTCATTGAGACAATTAGCTTGAAGCTCTAGACAGTAAGCAAGTAGCCAGATGGCACTTATTGGGAGAAGTACTTTAGAATTTAACATACAATTACTTTAAGTGGAATACATTTTGATGCTTCGTTTTAGGTAAAACATTTCACACTGCGAATATACTTTACTTGTACATTTTATTTTGTTATACCTTTCGTTCGTAATTACGTTAATGATAAACCGAATGCTTAGAGTGAGTTATGCTCTACCTACACGACATACTGTGCTCGGATTGGTCTGATCCTAGTTAACCAACCAATCAGAAGGCTAAACGCGGTTAGATCTCGATCATGTAAAGAAAACTCGCACTAAGCACTCTGATAATAAAGTCGCAGATTCCCAGAAGAGTGAGTCAATCAATGCGTGAAACGGTATTGGAACAATTAATTCTAATTTTAAGTCATATAATGACAATGTAATACTCGAATATTGTCCTTACAACATTATCTTGTACTAGTATTCACTTTTGACATGTATTTTGCTTTTGAAAATAGGATAAATATATTGATATACTATTTTAAGTCATATATGTAGCAAAATACATTTATATAAAGGCATTTTCGAAGATATAATCATAATAATTATGTTTTATATGCTTTAGAATTTGGTGGAAGCAATGTGTTTTATTTTAATGGATATCTGTTTCACACAAATAAAATATGTAACCGTCTTGGTTCAGGCCATGCATGTCTAAATCATTGTATAAATCTGTGATTCAAGTTCTGAGAGCAACAAAGTCATATGAACTTCAATGTGTGTGTTAAAACAATAAATGGTTTACTAGTATGGCCTGAGCCAGTACGTCCAAGCCCGTGGAGTGAGTAGAGTGGCGCGGTAGGCGCGCTATATGAAGAACTCCCTGCGCTTGGTGACGCGCGGGCCGGTGGCGGCGGCCAGCGCGGCCGCGTCGGGGTCCGCCGCGCCCTCCGCGCCGCGCTCCTCCTGTCGGAGGGACTCTTATTTAGTTCTACTAGTAACATACACGGGGACCTTAGCGAGTATGGGTGGATGGAAAGACAGATTCTATAGACAGAATCGATATTAATGGAAATTGGAACAAAGACAGGGTATAAATAACATTTCTGGAAAACCACATAGACGTTACAGTGTAAAGATACTGGCACTATAATACCTTTGAAAGTACTTAATAAAAAAAACACTTAACGATAGTACTACTGGCTTGTTCCAAATACAAATAATTTATTGGTTATTTAGAAACATGATCCTACAGCTTCTAGCTTCTGATTAGGTAAATTATCTAGCAATATGGTACTGGCTACAGATATAAACAACATAGTGAAGTAAACATCATTTTATAAATTCTAAAGCGTCTCTTACAACATGTTCTTTACCGTATGCATCTGTGTTGGAGTACTTCTAAGAGATAGAGACCTCAATCATAAATTCTACGATATTGTCAAAATTCCAATGTACCTGTGTTAGATATTCGCCCTTATGTCTGGAGAGCGCCCGCACCAATACGATGGCGACTATGATCAGTAGCAGGAATATGAACGCCAGAACCGCTGCAAATATTAACATTACAGCTTATGAACTATATGAACACACTTGGAACAGGAAAAAGATTATATATTATACAAGTATGCTTTGTAGTTCTTTTGTATAGCTTTTTTTCACATACATTTTTCGCACGTTTATAAATGCAAGGAAAATCAATCTTTCAAATCAAAATTTGGAGCAAATATATTATTGTAGCCAAATAACGAAACTTACTGCCGAGGATAGCCTCATCTGTGTTGTGTAGGTCCAGTTCATGTTGCAGGTCTAGGTCTGGCGGAGGTCGTGTCTCCACGGCCTCGGGAGGGTGAGTCACGGGCTCCACGCCGCAGAAGTCTTCGCTCAACACTCCTCCTGACGATGGGTCACAAGTTAAATCTCATTCATTATCATAATCGAGTGAAAAGAAGTATCAAAATGAAATGTGTTTACGCCAAAATCAATAAAGAAAATCTAGACATCTTCGTTATTTTAAAAAAATCGTTTGTTCGAGACATCCAAAGTCACTGAGCAAGGCGTTGCCTATCATTAATGGGAGTCAAGATGAGTTCATTGAATATTAGTTAATGTATGTTTTTCAATACACACACATATGTATGTGTGTTAAAATAATCATTAAGGACTTGTCACACTTGCATATTTGTAAATGTTTTTTAATACATTACAATACACATACACGCGTGTTTAACATGGAATGAAAATAAATTAGTTACGCCTATTTTCTGGATGAGTGAGATCCCCCTTACCTCCCAAGCTGCGGACGTTGGGCGGTGGGTCCTGCTGGAACAGTAACTTGAGCGGGTATATATCGTCGAACTCGACTCGACTGACGCAGCCCACGAACCCTTCATTCATAGACTCGTTGCGTCCTATGTACATGTACTGGATGTTGTTGAACTGCGCGTCTGCCGACTCCTTGATGTTGAAGTTGTATTCTTGGGTCTCATAGTTATCCACCTTTGGGTAAAAGTTTTGATTACAATACACTTCTAAGGAATAGAATATTGAACTGACCGATAGACTGACACTTTATATCTTGAAAATTTTGTGTGACGTCCAAAAGTGCCTGTAATGGTCTCTTAGAAATAAATTATTTTTGACTTTTGACTTTTTTGAAAAGGCAGCTTATCATATTTGATATATAAAGCACCGCGGCCTTGGCCAAGAGCAGAAGATGTACCAGGGCTTTAAGTCAGTAAAAGTCTGACACTAAGGGCAGAAGCCAGATGATGATTTTCTCCAAACAAAAAAATATATATTTGATATCATCCAATAGTGATGCAAAGAGAGCTTATGTATCATTTATGTTCAACCCGCCACAATCTAGATCTAATAATATTTCCTCTGTTACCTGTAAAACCATGGTAGCTCCACTATTCTTCCTAGATAGTCGCACATCGTGGTACTGTCCCAGAGCGAAGTGTTTCCCCTGGAATATTATCTCTTGCCGCTCGAAACCGAAGTCAAATACCACGCGGAGATGACCTGCGTTTCAAAAAACAATTAAATGGAGCAAGAAACATGGCAGGAAGTCGTGACATGCAGGTTACTTCCAATCCGCTGATCTAGAAGTCATGTTTAGCAGTGGACATCTTGTATGTGGTGGAATAAATGTGAATAAAACTTTATTTTCCTCATTGAGACTCACCCGTCATGTGCAATATTAGGCAAATATAAATATTCAGTATTGTATTGGGCAAGATAGTGACCGAAACAAATAAGTGTGGGAGAGCCATACTTCGGTACGAATGGGTCGGTTCGACCGGAGTGATACCGTGGTCTCACAGAAAACCGGAGTGAAGCAAACATAGCGTTGTGTTTCGCTGTGTAAGTAACGTTACCGAAGGCCTCATCTTTACTCTATCTCTACGAAAATCCCTAAATTCTCAAAAGGCCGGCAACGTACTCGTAACTCTTTCGATGTTACGGGAGTCTATGGGCGGCGCTGATTGCTTACTATCAGGTAATCTGACAGCTCGTTTGCCGTCTTACGGACGTTTATTGCGAATTGCAAATACTTTAGTGTTTCATGAATCCTTACCTGAATTAGACACTTGTAGAGTAAGGTATTCTCCAGAGATGTTGGAATAGAAACCAAGTAGGAATCCCTTCGGGTTGGTGGTGGTGAAGCCGACGCGGATTTTCTCAGCGATGGTGGACCGCCATGAGCCCAGGAAGTCGTACTTTATTATAGAGTTCGGACGGAGGTTCACACCAATTTCTGTAGCAAATAGCAAAAATCTGTAGGTAATGTGATACAAATTCTTTAATGTATGTTTTTTGTGTACACACAAAAATCATAAATTTTTCATGTAAATTTTACTCACTCATAGCAAAAACAGTCGAACAGACAATCTGGGTTAATTTCACGAATCGCGAGCAGGTCGTCTGTATTATAGTTTTGATGTATTCAACATTACAGTGAATATTTAGGTTTTTATAAACTAAATATGAGATTCACTTAACATAACAAAAACATGTTACAATAATTTAGTAACTTCTCGATTTTGATAAAGAGGTAAAATTCGTAAGTTTGTATGTAGGGGGTAATCTTTGGAACCACTGGTCGGATTTCCAAAATTCATTCACTGATAGATAGCTACAATATTCCTGAATGCTATAGGCTATAAAACATCACGTTACGATTAAGTACAGCCGAGCAGCAGGTGAAACCGCGCGAGAGTAGCTAGTTTAAAATAATTATAAAAACACGGTTTGCAAAAAAATTACGTACAGTTGAAAACACATTACCGTCAGCACAGATAGGTCCCTTGAAGGCGGTCCAGCGACAGTCGCAAGAGTAGGAGTCGTACCCCTCCAGACAGGTTCCGTTATTCAGGCACGGAGAGGAAGCGCACTTGCCCATGCAGCCTTCTGATACTCCGTACAGACCTATGAGATAAAATAGAATATTAAAATGTTTGTTTTAAAAAGTAGAACTATTTATTGATTATAATAAGGGTTTTGATGGAAGCGAGTCCTCGATATAGAATTGGATTAATTGCCCTAGTCGAAAAGAAATTGTTCAAATTTTTGAAAAAAATATTAATGTATTTAAAAATAACCACTATTTAGTATTTTTTATTTAATTTAGGGCAGATTTTTCAATCGTTTGGTAAAAGTTACTTGGGAAATAATTATGATGTTGTCGCGTCAGAATGCTTATCTACATAAGATAGTGACAGCAATAATTTTATTCTTCAGATAATATTTATTTGATTATTCAGAAATCAGCCCTAAGGAAAATTCATGTTATAGTACTTATGCAATGGAGCTATGAATTTAATTGCTATTGCATAGACAATTGTCATTTGTAACGTTTTTAAAAAGTATTGAATTTGCTTTTAGTTAATAAGGGTTATGTACTATAACGATGGCTTATTTATGTTTGTTAAGAAAGGAAATAAATAAAAATAAAAAGTAAAGAATTTGATCAGTTGAAAAACACTATTTGAGATTTAGAATTTACCTGAAATTGTTCAGTAGATCTCAAGTAAATGAGTTCACTGTGACAATCGTACATAGTTACGACGCCTTATTAAATCTGAGGTTAGATATTTTGAATATTGGGAACAGATAAGTGGGAAGTATGAGACATAGTAAGGAAAGGGACGAACCTCTGCGTGCGTAGTAGCGCAGGTCGACGGGGTTCCCGTTGAGCAGCAGCGCGCGCATGCAGCCGACGAACCCCCCCGAGCGGTCGAGCGCGGCGCCCAGCACCAGCCCCGTGCTCAGCTGCAGCGCGCGCGCCGGCTCCCGCGCCGTGCGGATCTCGTTCTTCAGCGCGCCGTCCACCACCACGCGCGCCTCCTTCCTGCACGACCGCATTAATCCTTACTTTACCACACCCACATTGGGAAATTACTGGTAATATTGAGATCACCACTTATTTCTCACCTTCCACGCGCGATTAAAAGTTCAAATTCCTAAAGTAAAAAAAAATACTATCTCGATCTTTGTCAATTATCAATGCAATAAAATTGCTTTCTTAACTCAACCCCACACAAAAAACAACAACCGTAATATACACTTCTCATCAAAAAAAAATTACCGCAGAGGCACATTGAGGTACGATTCGGTGGGCAAGAGTCTTAAGGAGCCGAGAACGGTAATCATCAATACACACATGTATCGTGCCATGTTTTTTAACACACTTCTAAATAAAATAATACTTAAATATATAACTTCAAAAGGAAGGCGAGAGTTGACAGTCGGAACGAGTTGCAATGACGGTTCCGTACGAGTACTGAACGACTATTTTTAATACAGTTGCAAAAATTAAGCAATTTAATCGAATTCACTCATTTTGTGTAAAAAAAAACAACCAAACTCGCAAAAAGAAAATTTCGGAAAATGGCGCCAACAGTAGAGTGTAAGCAGTTTTTTTCACCCATTCTGGTAGGCAAAGGGAACTGCCCATACAGCCAAGTCTTTAGTACTTAGTATTTTTTATAATCAGAAATGAAATTGAAATTAGTGATATAAAATGAACTGAAACCTTACCTAACTCATTCAATCAAATAATTAATTCTGATATTGGACAAATTAGTATGTAGCTTCTTTTTAGAAACAAATAATACAATTTGACATTACGTTTATTTTTTTTTATACATTGACATGATCACCTATTGTGTCATTTTTATTTTTTATTTGACATTTTTTTTTATTTATTTATTGACATTTTTATTATTTTATATTATTGTTAGTGCAAGGACCGTGTGAGACTTGCCGTGCTTTTTGATTACCAGTTATCTGCGTTCTGACAGTTTGAGTACTTGCGCGACCCACCCAAATGTTCTTTTGATCGGTATTTTTCGTCGGACAACTCAGCAGCACTAGCTATACTGGTTGCAAACTGACACTTGCGTGCCTGTCTTCAGAACGGGTCCACTTAAACTGGTGTGGTTCTTTCCTCAAAAGACCACTACAGAATGAACTTGCACGGTTCTCTCACATTATGTTATTTTACATTGTCTGGACTTGAAAAGAGACTGACCTCTGAGTTTGTTTCGGCATTTCTTCTCAGAGTAGTCAGATAGGAAATGCCGGCTTCATCTAGTTCTTCACATATAATTTGACGTGTAAAAGTGCCGTTTTATGGCGTATTTGCAAAAATAAATTCAGTTTCATTATTTCAAAACCTATTTGCATGAATCGCAAAATCTTCTATTATTATTTTTTTAGTTAAAACTTCATGGTTGTTTTTTTTATAGAAATTATTTTGACAGTTGGGAAAGAAAACGCACGAGTGCGGGAAAGGCAAAAAAAAAAGCACGAGTGTGAAATAGCCCAGATCCCGAACTAGTCCAGTCAAAATAGACATTCCAGTTTGCATTAATTCCCAACAAGCTGGATTTTTGTGCAGGCCTTGAATACGTCATTACAAATGATATGTCAAAAGTCCCCATCGATCCCGCTTGTGCGTTGTTTTTTATTCGAGGTCAAAGGTCACAAATTTGCGTTTTTTGCGTATATCTCTGAAACAACGAGAGCTATCGAAAAATGGTTCAGACAAAGTTTGTAGATCGTAAAATTGTCTACAAAAAATATCTCAACACTTTTCTCCTACAAAGCATCGCTTTCGAGATATCGTGACTTTAGAACGCAGGAATGTCGTACTTTCGACTATATGCACACATTTCCGCACCACCTCTGATGTAGTGTACACGGCGCTTTTTTTTAACGTGGTTTCCCCTGTAGGAATACTCCACAATATATTTTGATCGAGGGAATGTAATGGGACACTATTTTATTGATGATTTTTTTTTTTTATTTAAATTTAATGAAAATTTAACCAGCAAGAAAATTACATTATCATTGTTGAAGATTGTTTCAAAATTGATGAGGATATAACTGATATATAGAGCAGTCTACACAAATCGAGCAAGAAGAGGAAGAAGACAGTGATGAAGAAGAAACAAGTGACTATGAAGAATTTGATGTTGAATGATAATGTAATTTTCTTGCTGTTAAAATTTTTATTAAATTTAAATAAAAAAAAAATCATCAATAAAATAGTGTCCCATTACATTCCCTCGATCAAAATATATTGTGGAGTATTCCTACAGGGGAAACCACGTTAAAAAAAAGCGCCGTGTACACTACATCAGAGGTGGTGCGGAAATGTGTGCATATAGTCGAAAGTACGACATTCCTGCGTTCTAAAGTCACGATATCTCTATATATGTATATACCAATACAAGACCTACATACCTATTTCTCTCAATACTGACAGAATGCCAGTTGTTATCAGCCAATCGGTTACTGGTCTCCACTGACACACCCAATGGAGTGTCACCCACTTGGAACTGGAACTGTAGCTGGTCTCCGCCGATGATGGACAACTTTATGTAGTCTTGAGGACCCTGAATACAACATTCATATGTATTACTTACTAAAAGAATATAGCCATGCTAATAAGATAGATATGATAATCTATGTAACTACATATAAAATACAAAATCTACTACATACATATATTTTATTGACTCTAACCAAAATATAGGTTCGTCAGAAATCATTATTTTCTGTTTTTCTTACCTTAGAATGCAGGAGTACAGCATTCTCCCTGGTTGTTTTGAACTCAAAATAGATGTCGCCACTGTGGCCGAGGTCAAACATCGGCAGAGTGATGATGGCGTCAGATATACGGAATGTTACCGCGTTACTGAACAAATCTGATGACAAACATAATATTCATATAGAAACACAAGCACTATTTAGCAGCATTGGACGTAAAATTGCAGTGTTTGTAATATTGAATTAATCGATTTTACTAAGTACATACATATATAATTTACGGTAAATACACCAATATAACACTTTGTACAGTTTTGTCTGTCTGTTTGTCCTGGCTAATCTTTATAACGGCTTTGCCAATTTTGACCGGATATCATTGATGAGTAGGTGACGTCAAAAAATTATCCCGAAAGAATTATAGTGTTTTCACAGGATAGATATAATCAAATATTACACTGGCGAAGTCACGATTATAAGCTAGTCTTTAATAAAAGTAAATTCAAAATCAAATAATTATTATTGTTTTCCAGTTTTACTAATATGATTACATTTAAGAGTAATAATAAGAATAAACAACGTACCGTCTCCTTCACACAGCAGAGGTCCGAGCGTGTACCGTCCCTCCTTCTCATCGAGATGTGATCCGGTGTCTCCGAAGCGAAGTTGTTTTACTGGTAGGAACTCTTTCTCTGTGATTTCTCCGCCATCCACTTGGAATTCTGTTTAAATAACAAACGCTGTTGTGTACTGATCAATATTTGATTGCTTTGCTTTGGATAATTCTCTCCATATGATCTCAACTCAGAGATCATATCTATAAAGGAAGTCGTATTATTTAGATGTAGTTTAGGTCTAAAAGAAAAACGTAGGATGGAGTAGGGTAGCTAGAATAGGGTAGGTAGTGTAGTGTAGTGTAGAGTATGGTAGGTAGTGCAGAGTAGGGTAGGTTCTGGTAGGGTAGTTTAGGTAGTGAAATAACGAGAGCGAAGTAGCGGGTAAAGCTAGTGGAGGTGGAAGCAATGTGTGTGTGGGGTACCGTCGGGCTTGGCGTGCTCTGCGTCGCAGTTGCACCACTTGGTGGGGTCGCGGCAGGCGCCCAGCAGGCCGCACTGGCACATGCGCGAGCCGGCCGTGGCGCCCGCCCAGTAGTCCATGCGCTGCCCCGACCGGGACACCCACCACGCGAACGGGTGGAACGACGACTCCTCGCCTGCGGGACACAACAATACAATTACATTTATCGATCACATATTTCACTTTTCACAACATTTTTAAAAAGTTACTATCGTGAGACATTCTAAATGATTGAAAATAACGACTTACTTTCTACTAGTTTCAAGTCGCCGCGACGCGCACGCGTCTCATGAATAAGTGCTGTTGTGACTTGAAACTAGTAGAGCTTCTCTCAAGTAATTCATGTAAGTAGTTATTTCAATAAATTTTGAACACAATAGAAACGATACTTTTGTTTGTTATACTTTTCCTTTTCAAGCAAGTATCATCTTATCACCAAAAATTTTCCTACACACAATACCTCTCAGAAAATTTTACACTTATGTCATATCACTAAAAATCAATAACATAATCCTTTCATTATTTTAACAGAAGCCCATTAACCTATCATTTTGTATCAGGTACGATAAAATTACAAACTACTGAATAGACATTAATGTTTACCTATACTAATATTATAAAGAGGTAAATTTGTAAGTTTATATGTAGGGGGTAATCTATAGAATCGCCGGTCGGATTTTCAAAATTTTTCTTTCTTTCACTGGTAGATAGCTACAATGTTCCTGAGTGATATAGGCTATAAAACATCACGCTACTATTAAATGTAGCCGAGCAGCGGGTGAAACCGCGCGAGATTAGCTAGTTTTATAATAAACTAAAAGAAACTCACTAGGAGAATTCAACAGGCGCGAATGTTTGCACATATACTCGAGATGCTGCATGCAGTTCTCCGACCTATTGAGCAGTGCCTCGAGCTGTGGTATGGAGGCGTCGTAGATAATGTCCTGGCGGAAGCTGCCGGGCTCCTGGTACCCGTCCACCACTGTGTTCTGGGACGACGAATGCTGCACCGCTGTTATGATGCGACCGTCCGCTGTAAACGATTTTACAATTAAATTCAATAGTACAAAGTTGCTTGAAGAGAGCTTTTTTGTAAAAGCCCAAATAAACTCCCGCTCACGATGAGTTGGCAACAAACTTTCTTACTGACTAAAAACCGACTCCTTTCCTCTGTTATATAATTATAATGTCGTATCTATTCTCTACGCCCAAGATCGCGCGTCCTCACGCCCCTACCCGGGGACGCAGATATAACCACGACGATCATGCCTGGTTCGAAACCAGGCAAGACTTACAAGTCATATGTACTTTCTGTGATTATTTAGACACCTCTGACATACGGTTAAGTAAAGCATCGTGAGGAAACCTGGACTTATAATTTCTAAATATAAGTTTGAAATCGCCAATCCGCCTTGAGCAAGCGTGACGAACAAAGTTAACTCACTGGGTGCTAGCGTATCTATGGGCGTACCGCAGGGCTCAATATTAGGTCCTTTTCTATTTTTAGTTTATGTGAATGACCTGCCCCATTTGTTCCAAAATGAACCGCATATGGTATTGTTCGCTGATGACACTTCATTGACTTTTAAAATAAATAGACGAACAAACAAATATGACGAAGTTAATAATGCCTTAATGAAGGTTCAAAATTAGTTTACAATAAACAACTTATTACTAAATGATAAAAAGACTAAATGCATTAGATTTATTTTACCAAATGTTAAAAGTAACGTATGTGATGATATATTATTAAATGATCAGAAACTAGAATTTGTAAAAGAGACTACTTTTCTGGGGATCACTGTAGATGAGAAGTTGCAATGGGGGCCCCACATCAAGTCTCTAGCTGGACGATTGAGCTCTGCAGCTTATGCTGTCTGGAAGATCCGTCAGCTAACCGATGTAGGCACGGCAAGACTAGTGTACTTTAGCATCATGTCGTATGGAATTCTGTTGTGGGGACAGGCATCCGACGTTGAGTCTATCTTTATCTTGCAAAAGCGTGCCGTCAGAGCTATATATAACTTAGGTCGTCGCGAATCCCTCAGAGAAAAGTTTAAGGAGATCAACATTCGGACCGTACCGAGTCAATTTATTTATGAAAACATTATGTATGTTAGGAAAAACCTACACTTATTTGTAAAGGTATCTGTCAAACATGATTATCATACTAGACATAGGAATAGATTGAGTCAGCCTTTATTTAGATTGGCAAAAGTGCATAAGTCATTCCTTGGTTTCTGTGTTAAATGTTATAATAAAATCCCAGTTGAAATTCAAAATCTAAATGAAAGCAAATTTAAATTATGTATAAAGAAACATTTATGTAAACTAGCATACTACAAACTAAATGATTATATACAAGATAAAAATGCTTGGAGGCTGGCTGGTCCTACTCCACAGGATGTTTAGAAGAATTTTTTATTTTAATTATTAATTTGTATACTATGTTGTTAATTGTTGATGAACGTCTAAGTTTTTGTAAATGTGAGTGCCCTGTAACCTATTATAATTAAGTAAGACTTGTAGAATATAGGTACTTGTGTCGGCTGGGAGCTGTCATGCTCACTCAGAGGTCTCATTGGCGGTGGCACGGGCACTGGATCGCCCAATTCCCTATAATATGGTTGAGTTGGGCGGTGCTGGTGTACGTCTCATGTTCGTGAAGGGCGCCGCCTATTGGGACTGGTCAGCTCCAGTGGTCTTAATATGTTGTCCTTGAGGTTCACTTCTTTTTCGTACTTTTTGCCTGAACATTAGTGTTACATTGTTCTCACATATCAGAACCGACTAAATGATGTAACAAAGAAATGTATTGTAAAACTGAAAAAGAGTAACCATGGAGTTTCTTGCTCGTTCTTCTCCATAGGAATCTACACTTTGGAATGAGCAAATAGCTTCACTAGAGGACAGACGGACAGACTGACGCGCTTAATTTTAAAGCTCTTTTTATATACTTTTTTCCTTTTTTGCTTGCTTGACGTACAAAAGTGCCTACTGTGGTCTAATTGAAATAAATGATTTTTGACTTTTTTTTTGACGATTAATGCTCTAACGTTCTCCATGTGAGAAAAGGCCTTTGCTCAGTAGTAGGCACTTATATGCTGATGATGTGATATAAAGGAAACCACGATAGGAACAGAATAGAGCCTCGAGTTCAGTAGTGCTATTTTGAACAACTATATTAACTTACAGTAAAACTCGCAAGTGACGGGGAAAGCGGGTAAAGGTCCGGAGCCGTCCACGTCGATGTGTATGTCGGCCGAGCGAGACACTGCCTGCACGTTCTTGTACGCCTGGCACGATAGCGGGTGGATGGCTGGAATAATTAACAATATTTTATATCATGAACAAAAAAGGATACCAAACAAGATGTTAAATATTGTTTGGATAAACAAAATTAAAATTATAAGACAAAATTAAAGGTTAACTTAAAATTATTACTTTCGTGCACGTTCGAAAATTTTCGTGACCATCCGGGGCTCTAAATAATAGTGTAACGTTGTAAACCTTAGACTTGGGACCTACCTTAATTCAGTTGATATTCATTCCGTTTTGCATTCCAAATAACATAATTGGATGTAATTTTATTTGTTTAAATTCACAATAATGTTGTGTTTGTTGTTTTTGCAAAGTGTCAAACCTCACATCAAAGTGACGTTACGCTTGTCGTGAAATGTCAACGTCAGTTGTCATTCCACAGATTATAGATTCACCCAATCGATAATAGAATCAATGTGCGGTAGATGAAATAATTTTGTAAATAATAGCGGGTAATCGTTTTTAATTTTATTTATTAATGGATAATCGCCCGCGGACAGTTAGCCTTGAGGTCAGATAATTAAAAAGAAGTAGATATGTGTCTCTGCCTACTATACTTGTCTATGAAATGCAATTTTCTTATAAGGCGGGTTCGAGTAGAAAATCTTTCCTTTCTTCTGGAATCCTGATCGCCGACCTACAAACGTACTGTGTTGCATAATTTTCGCAGAAGTCAATTTTGGGCTTAATAATTTAAATTCAGTGTTTCCGTGGTTCCCTGCAAAGGGTAAGTGTTGTTGCACAGACTTATATTTAATTTCGTAAGTCGAGCGTAGGGACTGTAAATTCTTGTATTTAGATTTTTCGGTTTTATATTTTGTAATTTAAATTGTGCCGTTAGTAACGGTTACATTTATAAACTTTCATGGGGTTTCTCGTTAAATCTATTTGTTAAATAAGTTATTTGTACCGTGTTCATAATTAAGAAACGAGTATAATATTTAATTGTTGGAATTTATTATTTTCGTGTGAGGGTATATTCATATAATTTTATTCCAGTTCTCATTCTTGTCATGACACGAATCCTGTATTACTTCGGTTTTAATTCCTGTTTCGTCGCATCTTGAACCTGTGCATGGCGTGTCCTATTCTTATTTTTTTCATATAATTTCGCCTTAAGGAAAGAACGATCACCGTCTTTTCCGAATTTAAAATATGACACGCCATGGCAGTTTCTGAGGGTGGACGACTTTTTATTAATGATTGATCTGGTTTCTTTTGTACCAAATCAATTAACTTAATTATGTTGTATTTTTATTATCACCTTTAAATTGATCTGAAAACCAACAGTAGGGTTTTAATATTATCTCTCACTACCTCTTTTATTATTTTATGGTTTTTATTTTGTGAGATAATTTTATTGTTTTATATTTTAATTTTCCACCCTTGTAAAAGACCAACCGACCGTAGGGCCCTGTGATAGGATTTGGTCGGTGGTCACCAGGACATTCTGGGACAACGGTGGACTACACCCTACCTGTTTGGCGGTTTCAGGAACTTTGTACGGAGTTAAAAAACCCCGTCGAGCTCAGCAACCACGGACGGAGTTGAAAGGCCCCGTCAACCTTAAGAGCCATGTACGGAGTTAAGAAACCCCGTGTGTAGTGGAAACATGGGGAAGGCGAGCGTAATGGGCCTGGCCCCGTGTCATTGCGCTGTAGCCTCCGCGTTGTCCCCGGACTGGGAGAGCGGCACCGGCATGCACCTCAACCTCATGCCATAGTTAAGTGGCCACCACCAACACCGCCAACCACGTCTCGCATATACCCACATTTTTTATTATTGTAAACGCTCATCAGTGACAGTGCCACCAAGTAGGCGTAGGACCCACGCCTTATTTTTTGTTGTATAGTTTTTAACAATAAATTGATATTGTTTAAAACGTGTGTTGTTTAATTTCTAATTCTAGATTTTTTATTTTTGCTCGGGTTTATCCCGTAGCAATAGCTTTACATTAAATACTTTACAAAATTTAATTGAACTTATATAGCTACTGTATAATAATGATGGAGTATAATACATACAGGTATGGCAGACAGCCCCCGCGTACCCGGTGCCCTGGCAGTTGCAGGAGAACTCGTCCGCAGTCTGAGTGCACACTCCGCCGTGCTCACACGGGTTTGGGTTGCATCTGAAACGTACGTAACTATTGTATAGGCGATCTTCAGTTTTACTTATCTATTAAAACTTAATAAAGATGCAGAGATGTGGGACAGATGGAAAAGTTAATATTATGAGCTCATAATTGTATAAATAAATAACAAACATTAAGATGTATACTATAAAATACGAATAGTTAATATAGAAAATACATCAAATATTATGTATTATATTTTATGTATTATACATAAAATATGCCAAAAAGACAAATATTTAAGTACTACTTAGTTATAATGACACATTAATATATAAAACACAATATTTGTAATTATAATTATTCAAGGACTGAAAATAAAAAATAAGGTGTATATAAATTACCTATCAATCATCTGACAAGCATCGAACACCACTTCGTTAGGGCAGCAGTACTCCTCTTTCTTCCAGTCAGTGGGCAGTCGGTAGTTACCGTCTACCGCTATCTTACGCATACAACCAATGAAGCCGCGCGGAGGAGCTTTCCCACCTATAAATAATTAATTTTAGTATTTCCTTCAAGCAACCTCCTTTGTTGCCTAGCAACGAAAAATCCTTTGTTGTTAAGGACGCTTATGATATGCGTCCTTAGCAACCTCTACTAGATATCAATAATAAATAGCTAATTTTGACATATTTAAAAAAAACTATTTATTTAGAATAAAAAACTATGCAAAACATGATCTTTAGTTCTTCCGTGTCTTAAGGTGTGTTTACAAATATTCAGCAAATGTATCACTTTATCTTGTATACTTGAAAAAAGAATAATAATTTCTTTTATGAATATTATGTATGACATTACCTGCGATATAATAAGTGCTGCCAGTCATAAATCTGAGTTTCTTCAACGTTTTAACAGGTCTATAGTCCACAGCTAGTATAAGGCTATCAGTAGCCATTGTTAACAGCAGTGAATGCCAACGTCCATCGTTGAACTCTTCTGCGTAATTATCTAACTTCACTCGGGGAGAGCCGGGAGTTTCTAACTCTACTTTCACTCTTCCTTCTTCTATGTATACCTGGATACATACATTTTTATTATCTTAAACTGAATTATTCATAGCCTGTTGTTTTTGTCTAGGTGATGTATGATTAGTATCACATAAAAAAACTATAAATATAATCCAATCCAAACTAATATTATAAATTCGAAAGTAACTGTCTGTCTGTCTTTTCTTCACGCCTAAACGACTGAACCGATCTCTGTGAAATTTGGTACAGACATAGTTTGAAAGTCGAGAAAGGGCATGGAAAAGTTTTTATACCAAAAATCTGCAGGAAGTCACTATTACACGAAAGAAGTAGCGGGCAAAAGCTAGTTAGACTATAAGACTTTAAAATGATTTAGTAACTCTCCCGATCTTGATTGATAAACATGTTTCAACCTCGATTCAACTTACAACTAATTTAAAACGATCACTACAATCACAATATGTAACTTCTAAAATTCTTCTTAAACAAATTACGAAATAATTTTTCTATTTTCATCATACTAGGCTGTAATAACTTACTTTAACATGTCCCTCGGTGTTAAACTTGTGGTATATGAGTAATCCGTGCTGTTCATATGTGCGGAACTCCATGGAGATGTTGAGGGTGTTACCGCCCGAGTAACCTCGCAGCTTGGCGTAGGAACCTTCCTTGAGGAACGTTATGGGAACTACTGGCGGCTCCTGTAATAAATAACTTGGGTTTAAGAAGTATCAAGGTGATACCTCTGATACTTCTTAAACGGAAAGTAGAGGGATAGACTATATTTTATTTTGTTCCAAAAGTTAGCTACTAAATCATGTATTTGTATGCTATACACATTACTTCTTACAATATATTGAATGTTAGCATGTATGTTGAGCTGATTCTATTACCCCTTATAAAAAGGAGCCGTGGCGGGTTCCTCCCAAAGAAAAATAGAAACAAATAGGTAATTAATTGTTTACTATACTCACAGGACAAGCATAAAGTGTATTGACTTTCTGAAACTTGAATGGCTCGCCAGACTCGTAACCGAGCTTCAAGTCCTGTATCACGTTGGTGGCGTTCAGGTACATGTTCTCTATACATCCAGTGAAGTTCTGGTTCACAACCAATCCCTCTTGGAAGTTTGGTACACCTCCTATGTAGAACTGTAACAACAAAGTATTATTCCAGTAATGTTCTAAAGAAATAAGCTGAAGATTTTTGCCTACTGTAAGTACTTTGTTAAATGGCTAAAGCAAGGTTTATTCCTGCGCCGGGGTTGCGGGGTAAGCGCAATGTGGCACCGCAGCCTCGGCCTAAAGCAGGAGAAGGAACGGGGTTTTTTCAGTCAGTAAGGGTCTGACACTCTTTCTCGCCTTGGCATGGGCGTTTGAGAGTCATTTAATTTCCCCAGATATCCCCTGACAAAAAAAAAGTTTATTCCCGTGGTCAGGTGTGAATTAACAGTAACAAAAAAACGTGTCTGAGTAAATTAAGTGAGTATACTGACCGCTCTATTTAGATTGAGGCGGGAGAACTCTCCCTTGATGCGATCCTGTACGATGACGCGGTCGACGGAAAAGATGACGGAGCGCCGGTTGCGGGAGACCACAACGTCATGCCAGATGTTGTCATCCAACAAACTGCCCACCGACAGTGACGTTGCTGTACCAGACCCTGATACCAGAACATAATATTAGGTAAGAGTACATAAGCACCAACATAATAAACATTAGTTTTTAAAACTGTATTTTTGTCAACCTTTTAACCCCTTTGGTTGGTTGTTATGATGACACTTTAAACGATAACAAAATTTACACAAACAAGATCGTCGGCAAAGGTGATATTATTTTTGCCTTGTCTTAAACCTTATTATATATGTATAGAATACCAGCAGTTTCAATTGGAATTTAGGTATAACTTTAATCAAATGATAGAAGCTTAAGAATATATAGCTCTGCCAAAATAAATAACTTGTCACAAAATGAACAAGTTACAATTGGCACACAATGATTACAATTAAAAAAACAACAATACTTGATTTATCCTCAACTCACCTAAGTCAATATTAAGTACAAGTCTATTATCCCTGAGCTGTAGTGCAAGATAGTCTCCTTGTGTCCCTCTGGAGTACATGAGCGCTCCTGATGCTGTACTGGTCTTGAACCTGAAGCGGATCACTTCGCGGGAAGCCGATATAGGGTCGCGCAGCAAATCCATTTTCACCATGGAGGTTCCATTGAAGTAGAGGGTATCGGCAACTGTTATGGGAACACATCTTTAGTAAATGAATATTTACTATAAAAAGTATATTTGTTTTGACCGCAATTCACCTTTTTCCTTTTCTAACTATATATAAAGAGAAAAAGAACGAAGAAAAAAGTATAAATAACATTTTTAAAGTAAATAATTTTTATTTTACCAATAGGCTCGCTTTCAAGAGACTAATATCCTAAGCTACTTTTTTATAGCAAAATTCATACATATAGATGATCGATATATCGAAGTCCACAAGCGTATAAAACCATTTTCGTAAGATATTAGGACTAGATACATTATACATTCTAGATATAAATATTTCGGGTAATATCGATGTATCGTTGTTATAGGTTGCGTCAATCATAAATTAGGGCGTTCCTATATAGAAATACTTGTTAGCACGCAACACTACTATGCTAATAACCACCCATTTTGTATGCTGAATAGATTTCTTGCTAAGAATTGTTCGAAATAATGAAATTACTTCAAATTACACATGAAGTATGTATAAACTATGTACAGGGTGTTGTATAAATTGTGACTGCAAAACCCGACGAATTTTCAAGTCATAATTGTCATAAAACAAAAAAGTTTTTTTATAATCGAATACTGTAAGTTGTACATATACACATACATTAAAACTAAAAGTATTATTAGACCAGGTCTATTCAATCGTTTATTGTTTTAAGAAAGTCATAAAGTTTAGTACCTACAGTCTGCACCTAGTTCATAGCCAGAATGTGACGTTAATGTTTCTATTTCCATAGCACTTGCACTCCAAGGCTAGCACTTAACAACTTTATTGAAAATCGTATAAGATACATAAAGTTTACTGTTACTAAATTATTTTCAACTTGGTACATCCGATCAGGTTGAAAAAGAACTTATTTCTCTTCTACATAAATCTATCTGAATTTTTTATGACTGGATACAAAAAGTAGGTATTAGCAGGCGCTTTATTATTTAAATGCACGAGTTTCTGTGTAGTTTTTTATACAATTCTATAAATATTTTGTTACAGTATTATAACGCTTGTTACCACAATCATACATACCATAATCGCATCCATAAACCTCCACTCTCATGGAAATCTTGTCGCGCCATCTCATCGGGTTGATCCGAATGTACTGCGCTATAATAGGCACTTCGAATTCATTTTTCTCCACAGTATTCCCGTCATGGTTACCTTCGAACATCTGTGGAAATATGAACCTTATTGACGAGCTGTTTGGGACTAATTTCATGTTTCATGTGTAATTAGAACGAGCTTTATATTGGTTAATGCTTGCAAGTGTCAAGCAAATATTACTGAATTTGGTTGGACCTTATTTAAAATATTCTAATTAATAAATATCATAATGAGCCCGGCTTCGGGTTTAGGATTTTCGATTTCGAAACTGTTTTTTTTTTCATCTTTCCCGTTTCATGCTAAAACTGAGTATGGTGTACGGTTTTTTTCTTTTTGGGGATATAACATGACTGATCAAGGGAATTTAGGTTACTACGGTATCAAACAGGATACCTAGGTACTTAAATCTGCCAACGTTTTAGAAAATAATAGGCATACTTGTATTAATAATGTTACACAATCTACATATAACATCATTCTTTAGCAGACTCTCAATTAACAGACAAATGTAAACTTGATGTTTGCTTGTCTTTTAAAGCCCTATGTTTTTCCAAAGTTTACCTTTTGAGCTCGAAGAATGTGTAAACGATTCACACGCTACACACATTACCGTCACAGACACGGCTAAATCCGATGTTAACATAATAAACTTCGATCATAATGTTATTGAAAACAGTGCTCCCATAACAGATAAGATGATGCAAACTGTTAGTTACTTTCCACCGATACCTACCTTCGTGAACCCATCGTCGCTGGTGATAGGTCGCCAGCTCTCACCATCGTCGGAGTATTGGAGCATATACTCTGTAACGTACTCGTCGGTGGCGAAGCGGCCGCGGGTTGCAATGCCACGCAATTCCCGCCGCTTGTCCAGCTGTATGGTCAGGTGCTGGTAGTAGGAGCTCTCCCGAGCCGTCCATGCCGACGTCCCTTCACCGTTATGTTAGTTAGTGCTATCGATACTTCACAAACGTGATTGTGGATTGTAATTATAAGAACTTCAATTGAGTAAATACTTCAAAGTCGAGGTTTAGCGTAAAAATAAGAAGGTTAACAATTAACAAAAGAAATAAGAACGTAAAGGGACAAATTATGAGTCGATAACGAGAGATTAGAGATAAAAGACCTGTTTTTTTTTTATTTAAGTACAATTGTTTGCTGCAATACTTCACAATAGGTTTGCATTACATTGCGGTTTTTTTCCCGGTGAATAAATAATGAAAGGCGACATAAGGCATTAAGTACTTAACATTCAGGTTCTACATAAATGAAATGGCTTTGTTCAGCCACATAACGGTTGCATTCAATGAGAGCATATTCACAATGGCCCTGTGTAATCGAATGAATCCGGGTAGCATTACCACAATCAGGCTTGTAATTAGATGTGAAAAAATTTGTTAATCGTTGTTAGGAATGTAAAGAAAATTAGAGGAATTTATATTATTCTTAGTGTTTGTATTTACAAACGTGTTGAAATTTATTCTATGCAGCTCAGGTGTTTTTTTTTTAAATGTAAGCAGACTTTTGTATAGCTTTGAATGAACAGAAACAATAGATTTAACTTCATGGTATGTGATTTATTAAAACGTACTTTGAGCAAATATTAAATTGTCCAGTTAAAACCGTTAATATTAATAAAGAAAGGAGGCTGCTGTTTTAATGAAGACCAGTCTTAAAATCTGACTCACTATTTATTTTACTTTGATCTTTATGTGGTCCTCTACAGTTTTATTCAGTAATTCACACACAATGAGATATATTCTTACTGCATATTTTATTGGTTGCAGTTATAAATAATTAAACTCTCTACGTCACATAATTATTTTGACACGATAGTCTCGCTTATCAATAAAGTCTATCTCTTTGCTCAAAAGGTGACTCCAAGTACCATCTAGTTGTAATATATTGTATTTTTTTATTTATTTGTTTATCTGTCTATCTCAATGAACTGTATTACAGTACTCGTAAGCTTATGTAAACATACTTGAAACAGTTTAGAATCATTACAAAAAAAAAACACCTACAAACAAATTAGCAACTAAATACTACCTTCTACAACTAAATAATAAAGATATGGCGCTACGAAACATTGCAAGAAAACCAAACCAAATAAAAAGCCTCATGCAAGCAACCTCTCAACCTGTTAGTCGTATTTCAACTATTTCAGTTATTGCTTTACCTTGACTTCGCCTCCGGCCGCCTTATACTGAACGTAATCGAGGCCATTGGAACCATAGCTGATATGATACTCCTGGACATACTCCTGGGAGTGAGCGCGGCCCTGCGTGGCCACCCGCGTGATGTTCTTTACGCTACCCAGGTCAATGACCAGCTGCTGGTCGAAGTCATTCTCCGACGCCGTCCAAGCATTCAAACCTTTTCAGTGCGGGAAAATTTGCTTATTTATATCACAAGGTAGCTTGTGTCATTAGTAGATACTGTTAGTTGGATAAATGAGACTTTAATGTTATTTCAATAATCGTTTATTTGCCTTTGCCATTTATTGAACTTCTAACCACTAAATAATATAATCCTAAACCTTATATAACATCTATATAACAAAAAGCAACCCATTTTTTAAAAATATAACACATAGCCAATCTTTAACATTAGAACTATAAGAAAATATATAGCATATTTTTACGATAAATTCGAGATTTCTTAATTTTTCTTAGTCTAAAAATTTTTCATTTGCTTCTCAACAAATTGAGAACTAAACTGCAAGTCTGGTTCATGCAGGGATTTTGCTCCCTCCACAATTTCATCAAAGGTTAGGTAAGTATAAGGAGTCTGTACATAGTTGCCATCCTCAACCTTTAAAGACACAGCTACAGCATGTTTATCATCCAGTAATGTTTCTTCAAACAGCCATCCCTCTTTTACAACATTTTTCACATGCAAGACTGTATCAGTTACTAGCTTCCCCACTTCTAACTTGCGTGTTTTGATAGAAAAACTTATTTCGTCCAAGGGTACAGTTATACCAAACCCTATATTCTTCACATAACTTTCTTTGAGGCACCAAATGCGATAGAAACACGCGATCTGTTCCATTTCTGTGGGAAAGCTGCGTATCGTCGACCATTCGTGTGACGAAAACTGACGCGTCATAATACGAAAGAATTCTGGAATGTTCTTATTGGCTGGAGGTTCTACTTTCATGACATCAATACCAATATTTCTATCATTATTGCCTGCCAGAACTACAAAATCTCCTTGGTGAGACACATTGAATGTAATTGGGACATCTCCAGACTCCACAAGATAGGGTTTGCCTTTATCATCTCTACTAAAATGTATTTGCTCATAAGGAATAGAAGTTGTGTCATAAACAAATTTCCTCAGCATCAATCGACCAACCAGTGATGATTTGGCATCATTTTGGAACACAAATCTAGCAATTCTTTGCTTCTCCTCTTGTTGTATATAACTTGATGCAGCTGTTATTTCTTCCTGGGTAGGTGTCCACTCTGTGGCATTGAAAGCCCATCTGACATTAGCACTGGCCATTTTGGTTGTTAAGTCTCTATTTAGTATTGTTACTGAGGTCCAACTATTTAGTCTTTTATACTGATAACGGACCTGCAGACGAATTAATGAACCCTGTTACTTTCAGTATCCTTTTGATATATTATTTCTCATCTTTTTATTTAACATTTCACAGGTTAAGAAGCATAAATTATAACTTTGGCAACTGAATCACAAACACAACACACAACATGCAAAAATAATGGGATGATTTCATCTCCAAATGAAAATTAAAATAATGTAAATGTTGCCAATGTAGCTGGCCCACATCCTACAGCATTCACTAGCATACCTTATGGTTGATTCATAACATTTTTGACTTCATACACAGATTTAATGGTAGCTTCAGTCATCAAATGTTATAAAACACTCTACCAGTGCAGCAAAGGCAAAAATGATACTTGTGATAACAAATATTTTTTATCATATAATTTAACTCAATGATGCATGCTAACATTACCTGATAACGAAGTCAAAATAATACTTTCATGTTTTACAAACATTTTCATAGTTGCTATAGTAACAATTAAAATATGATGATAATAGGACAATAAAGTGTCTAAGGCATTTATTGTGTTATTAACATAGAAGAGCTACATCTTTAATGATACTAACTGACCCATTTATCAGGTTATTGTTAGCATTCCATCATGTTTACAACATCTAGTGTAAGCCTATCTCTGTGTAAATGAGTGAATAGCAGTTTTTATGTTTATGTTATAAATAATCTGGCCTATATGTAGGACTTGTAACCTATTTTAAAATAAATCAAACATAGAGACCAAATTTTATGCTGAATCACACATCTCCAACTCACCATATAACTTAGCATTCTCAGGTCCCCTGTCTCTTAGGCTCGATGTGGCAGTCAACTTAGCGTTGGCAACAAGGGGCTGATTACATTCGTAATCGTAATAGTATCTTATTGAGTCTGAAATTAAAACCAATAAATTTAAAACACTTATATAGTGCCTTAAAATTAATAAAACAGAAACTAGGGCAGCATTTTCAGGGTTGACTTAATTATTCAGGGAGTAAACAAGGGCGACACAAACGTGAAAGAAATTAATTTCCAAAGGATGTATAAAAACGACATATAATCTCCGAATAATTTAAATTAAAATAAGCCTCGTTAATTTCATTACAAACATTCGTTACATGTTTGAATATGAAACGAAAAACAGCCAAGACATGTTAAAAATAATCGTTATACTAACCTGCATCAGATTCCGTAATGCTATAGCAAAGCAACACAAAGAAATAATACACGATACCACTCATCATAATTTCATAGCTATTTAATTTATGCTTCTAATAAGAACGTAACGTAACAGTCAGAAAATCATTTATTAAAACTGTTTGATCATTACGATAGCGTTGTTACAATCATCAAGCCAGACAACACCCAAGTATGTTTAGTAAAACTTTTACGTCAGACTTAAAATAAAAGAACGAATTTCATTGGCTTAAAATGAGGAACGAAGGAAGTTCTGACCAATCGTTAAACGAAAATTTGACAGTTGACGTTCTTTTAGACTCGCTTATCAAGCAACATTGCAGACTACGTTCAGAAGTATATATAATGAAAACATTTATTCATCTTAAACGAGGCATTATGTTGAATTAAGTTTGAATGTTTTAAAAAACTCCAGTACTTTATTTCATTTATTTGGTCAATTAATAATTTTACTGATTTCGGTAATTTTACTTAGATCTAAACTTTTGAACGGACATTTAAACCATTGTTGTCAGATAAAAATATTTCACATAAAAAATAATTTGTAGATTTTTCGTAAATGAATTTTTCGTGACCGAGGAAATGTTTGACTGTTTTCACTTCTGAAAAAAATATAGTATTGAATTTTTGTTCATACATAACTTCGTTATTTTGGGATAGTTTTGGTATGAATGATAAGTGAGTAACTTTATTTTAAAATATTGGTAACACTGGCCATTTCTGCCGAAAATAGGGAACTTGTGTTGATCGATAGAATTTCGGTGTTTTAAACATAATTTACGTATTTTTTGTAAAGGAATTTTGATAACATTACATAATTAATATAGCTTGATATTTATTACATGGCTATAAGTCAGAAGTGAATTAACTATTACTATATTAGTCAGTGAAATCCCGTTACACATCTTTTATTTCTGCCACGTTTTGTAGAAATAGTTCTTAAGTTTTGATGTAGAAATGTTTATTTTAGCTTAATTACGCTAATTGATATCAGGTAAATTTTTAACTATGCGACTTAATTTATTCATGAATATTAAAACAATGAATCATCTGCACCACTGACATGACATCAGACGACATTTTCTAGTTGGACATTTAGACAGGCTTTCGCCTACATATTGGAAAAAAGCTTATTGACATGTCGTTGATAAATTACTAGGAACTCGTTATCTAGAAGTATACCTGTGGATAGAAATATCCAGAGGTAATTAGTAAATAGCATAAAATTACACACAACATTTAAAAGCTATACCAAATTTTGTTTTTTTGGTAACGTTGATTGATCAATAATTAAATGACATTTGTTTACATTATTAAGTTCAACTATCATACCTTTTCAATTTCTAAAGCAGCATAATTTGTATCTTTTTGGACCAGAAACCGCGATGTCGAGCATGTCAGATCGTAAGGCGGAGCTGGAGCGCAAGAAGGCGAAGCTCCAGGCTCTCCGTGAAGAAAAGGATCGTCGCCGCAGGGAAAAAGAACAGAAAGATGCTGAAGAAGCTTTGGTATTTTAATTAACATTAATAAGTGTTTATTTATTGATTATGTTTAAAACTGTAAAGCTATCATTAAAGTATAAAAACAATAATATAAAAACAACCTTTGATGCTCTTAAATTTGTGACAGCTTTCTATAGCATAATTTTCTTTCACAAAGATTTTCCATTCAAAGTTTATTTATTCAAATTTAAAATAGTTTGTCACTCTTTTCTTTCTATTCCAGCAACGGGCCTCAGCCACTTCTAGCCTGGACAGTCGGCGTGACCTGGATGAGATGCTGTCTTCTCTCGGAGTGGCTCCTGTGAAAGATGTGCTCTCCTCATTGTCTTCAATGACATCACTGACACCACCACAGACTGCATCACCAGATGCCAGCCTACCTCATACTGATAAGTCCAGTTTGCCTGCCCATGGGTAAGAGATCCATTCTCAACACCTGAATAATTAATAGCATTTCAATAGGAAATCATTAAAAGAAAGCCAACATATAAATAAGAGTTACAGTATTTAGAAATATTTTAAATTTAAGTTACAATTTGTATAGACTACTTAACTATAGTTTCATTTAAGTTTATTGTACTTATTATTTAAAGACCTTTTCTCATCACCTTTTCCAATTAAATTTGTTTCTGAACATGTAAGACAATTTTTTGCCATTATCTAAATATCTCTCAATTTTTTTCATTCAATTGCACCTAATTTTAAATAATTGAATTAAATAACCAGTGGGCCGAAGAAAGCTCCTGCCTTGCAAGTGGTGTCAGTGCAGTCCACAGACATTCCACCGAAGGAGAATGTGACTTATGCCAAGCAGACACAAACCACTGCATCAGGTGTCAGCGAGCTGCGGGATGGTAAGTTTTATGTTGACTTTGTAGCTAACATTATTGCAACAACTTTTGTTTTTTATATTTTTTGATTTTACTTCCATTGATTTCTCTTTAAGTTTTGTTAGCACTATAAAGTTATTCAAACCAAATATATAAATATGTGTAAGTTTATTTATGAAACTACTTAAAAGAGTTCATTTCTCTTTTACAAATATGGAACTTATTACATTTTTTATTGATATAACATTACAACCTTCAATTCTGATTGGTGATTGCAATATGATATGTGCTATAACAATTATGAAATATTTACAAGACACTTTCCTTGAAGAAATTCCCTAAAGTTATCATATACTTATAATAAAATAAAGTCCAAGATAAAATACTGGGTTATGGATCATTTCCGTGTGTACTGACATTAAAATAATTTATGTGTTTCCTTTAACATTATTTGAAAGTTTGCATACATATAAAAAAAATTAAATTAAGGTATTAACTGTGATGTCTGGGTGTTGGTTTAACTTAACTTTGACATTTGCAAATAATAAGTTCTTTTGTATCCACTATAAGTATCTTAGAACAAAACTTATTGTTTCTTAGTATAGTTATTAACAACTTCAATAAGTAGTCTTTTAACTTTCATTTCATGATCACTAGAAAACTTTAGTATCAGTAATGGTCCAATTGTAGTTTTATTGCCATCTCTGTCTTGCACAATAATAAATAAGTGTAGGACAAGGACAGAGGCATTATAGAAAAGAATTTGTAATATATTTGCAAATGCCAAGAGCCCCCCGTAACCAATGACATCTCTGTAGTGTTTACAACAGTATTTACTTTTCACTCATCTCTTTTAATTTGGCCTTTGATATGCTGTCTGAATTTATTATTATTATTTATTTAAATACATATCTTGGGGTGCTCTTCTCATTGACATTTGATATGTTGTGTGGGTTGTAGTTGAGAAGTAGACAGAGTCAAACCACTGCGATCTGTTGAATTTGTTATTTATATTTTCAAAATTATTGTATAGCAATAAAGTCGATAATCTATTAAAGAGTAGCTATGTGGTAGAGTGTGATCTTCATTACATGTACTAGTTAGTATAAACATTCAAATTAGCCAGAATCATGAGAGTTACATAAATTCATGGTTATTATTATTTTTAATAATGGAGTCTAACAAGGCACGCTTTGCAAACATAGTGCTTGGATAATCATCTAAATTTTCATTTGGGTTTGTCTTGCTTTTACCGTATAGGTCATATTTAGTTCTCAATCAATAAATTGAGGCAGCATTTGTTTGCAAAATTTTTGTTTCTTTTCTCAGCTTAATGTGTCGTCTACCCTTAGTGTAACCAATTCTATATAATAATGATATAAAAGTAAATACTGTATGAGAATTGTGGTGCAATGTTTGTGTTTGTGCTACCATAAAAAAAGGCTGCTCTTCCAATGCATCACCGCTTGCAGGATACATGGAGGACTGGTGGCGGCCGCGCAAAGGTAACTTATACCTTATTAACGTTATTTATAGTATATATTTGTTTGTCCACGAATATGTCCACGTAATTGTTTGGCGTAGTTTTTATTCGTAGCGTTCATCAAGTAATTGGCGATTGAAATTGAAAGCAAAAAAACATGTGCATGATAATTTCAATCTTAAGTTAATGGCACTGAGTATCGTTTTTGTCTAAATCGTCGCACACGTAATAAGTAGACTTAGCTCAATTTGGTTTTCATTGTCATATTCGTGGACGGTAATCATGATGAGCCCCTCACGAGACTTGAACATAATGCATGCACAAATATCTGTTTACATGAAATGGAACAAAACATATTCATCTAAACACATTCAATATTAATTTTATCCCTTTGAAAAACAGTGTTATTTACTCCAAATTGGAAAACTACAGTCTATTGACGGCTAAAGAAAGTATATTTGAAATGGATTAAATGGCATTAAACTTTAATTTATAAGTTTTGTTCCAATTTTATTAATTTGTAACTAATAAAATCTTATTGACATTATCAAAGCGTAGCCAGATGAGTAAAGCTCTAACGGGCTAGACATAGAGTTTATAATAAAATAGCAATGCCCCTGGCTACGCCCAACGAGGGGGTTTGTGAAAGTTTGTGCGAGCATGTAGTGTATTGTTTGGTGCCGTCGAGCTAACGTCACAGTGTGTGCACAATACTAAACACTGACCGATGATGTTACTGACGCTACAGACACTGGTCCACACGATCAGAGTGCAAGGGCCGTGGACTCGATCAAACATATTGGACATTTTAACAATAATTCGTTACTAGACGACGACATTGTGTCTTAGTTTACATACAGTTACTAACTATATCGTCCATATTCATCTAGCCCACGGCCATAAAGATTTGCATGTCCCCATTACAAACTTAATGGACTAATATCAATTCATTGTGAATACCATCCATATCATTTGTCCAGTCATTTATTTATCCAGTCTAGTCATTATATGTAAATATCAATAATATAATTACAAAACAAAAATATTCAATGTGCATAAATCTATAGCCAATATTGTATAGATATATATTTTTCACTGAACTTATAACTGACAGAATATTTTTATTTTTTGTCCTTTTCTAGCACACGCAACCGACTACTACGGTAAGTCATTATTCCGCCAGGACGCTTTCTGTCTATCCCTAACACTACTCTCTGATCATGTCGGTTAACACGGTGTCGGTTGTATATTAGTCCTCATCTCGGTCTAGAGTTGTATATACCTAGTCTAGGTTACCTTACTATCACGCTTCTAGTTATTTCCTACTAACAAATAGGTGCGGTACTCAGATTACTTGATAAATATAGAAAGAAACAGCAGCACATCTAGACCATTGATCCATTTCATTTTATCAAGAAATCTGTAACGTTTAGAGTTAGCGGGGGTCTGAGTGACACTACTCAACTAAAACATCATCATTTGATGCACGTTTAAGAGTTTACACGGAATTGTGGCCTTCCAGAGTTCTCCACTAGATCTCTTCACAGGAGATCTATATTAAGGGCCGCAACATAAGTTTATACCAAATATAATATGTGTATATGAATTATGGTGGTATTATGGGGTCGCCGTATCATCTCACGCTGTTTTCCCCTTCGAGTCGACTAACATACACTGCACAGGTCCTAACACACGAGGCGTGGTGCGCCGCCGCACTGGCGCGGCCTGCCGCACTGTGGCGACGCACCACGGTACGGTCATGCTGTAAAATATATAAGCACCAGCTATTTCTATGTATAGTTTGAATTTTTTATATATATATTATGGTCGAAAGATACTGACATTGTTTTTTTGTTTTTTCCTCCCTTTTCAAGATGAGTACAATCTAAACCCGGGTTTAGAGTGGGAGGACGAATTCACAGGTAGGTTTCAATTCCGAATCATACAAACAATCATTTTAACTAAATATTGCCCTTCGTAGAGCCTGTGCCTATCACCTAGCATGGTTTGTTGTCAATCTATTATTATGTAACGCTATTTATGATAAAGCTAACAAAACATAACTTAGCATAATATTTTATTTGTGTCTGTATGTGTGGTTTAATACAGGATCATTCATATTTAATTTAGTTGGCAGTCAGTCAGTAACTTGTAAACAGATTTCTTACCAATATCACTTAAATGCGTAATATATAGATAGAAAAAATAACTAGTGTGTTACAAGATCACAGCAAAACTATTATACAACCGTACTTGCTGACAGTCAGCTGTATATCACAGTATCCCTGTATTACATGACATACATTCAAAATTCTTCATTATATAAATATACATTGAGTCCATAATGCATGTGACAGAAATACATGTTGTGTATAAGTACCTATGCATGACTGATGACGTCATCCATATGTTTGCAATAGACAAGTATTATTTTATTATATATTTTTATTATGATGGAACATGTACCTCTCTTGTGGAGAGCTCGGGAAGTTATTTTGCATTTTATTTAATATTCCAAAGCTTTCTGTCACCAAATGTTAACGCTTTTAGAGATTTGTGTGTTTTAGTTGCACAGTTTTAGAGGAAATAAGTAGATTATGTCGTTCATTGAAACATGTTGATTTACTATCATTATGTAGGTATGTTGCAACAAGTCATTGTGTAGCGTACACTTTCAGTTTCTCTTAAAACTTGCTCATTATTATTGCCACATATTAATTTAGTCAGCATTGCTTCAATTGTAATGTTTAAGTGTTAATACTATCTGTTTTTTTAATGCTAAAATATATTTTTCCAACATCAATGGGTTCAATTCCCACGTTTAAAATACCTGAGTCATCAATATCAAGTGATTTAAATACTTAATTTTAGAACACTTTTTTTTTATTTTTGGAGAAACTGAAAGCCATTTGGAGAATATAGTTACAGTAGGTAATGCTTTTCTCTGTTCTACGCTGCAAATAGAAGGTATTTTTTTAAACGTGGTATGAGACACGTGTCCTTTTGTGTGTGCATGACTTAGATTATAGTGTAGACCCACCTTTAAGTACCTTTAAACATGTGTTAGGTGAATCGGAGATTCTGTTCGAGTTACTACAAAAATGTCCACACATACTACGGTACAAATACTTCGGTATTTGATATCGGTATAACACGAATATTTTAATTTACTATACTAGCATGCACTATAGATATCTTTAGAGTAGGCATTCTTTGAGACAATTTATTTTTCTAAGATTCCTTTAAGTAGAAGATACTTTTCTTTATAAGCCTCTTTCCACGAGCCATCCAGTTTCATAAGAGCCTCATTAATCGCCCAATTTTCGTAGCTTGCCTTGAATTAATTCCTTTCTATTTCTAGACATTAATTGCATAGAATGTTGCTGTAACTGTAGTCTCATACCATTGCTTTAAGATTCAAAATCGAATGGCTAGTTTGTGAGCATACAGAAGGATTAACAAACTGGTCTAATGATCATTTTAACATGTAGTAATGACGCTTCAATAGCTAATATTCATAGACAGATTAAAATATATCATTGACTTACAAGAATGTTCATCTAAGTGATATTAATTGCTCAAGTATGAATAGAAAGAAAGATAGAATAACTATAGTTATATATCTAAAGATTTTTACTATACTGTTTAGTAAGTAAAAATTGCTAGAAATTTCTATTCATACTTTGCTATGAGTATTCATGTTCAGTGTCTTACAGTGCCTCAAATGAAAGCAGCTTTCGTTAATTTCTCAATTTTATTAATCATAACCTTACTGATTGCGTTAATTATTTCCCACTAATGTGTGACGTAACACAAGTAATGCAAGCAATACGAACTTTGGAAGGGTTCTCCTATTATGTTCCGTGTGCAAAATTCAAGTACCTATGGCTGCCTTCATTTTTGGCATTGAGTGAGTACGACATTCATTCATCCACACTCAGTAGTTAGGGTTAGTTACACCAGTAGAGCAGTAGTTATCTTTCTTCATTACTCATTACCTACTCGTTTCATGAAGTTATATGACCAAGCAAAAAGAACATATACTTAATAGTCGTTTACGAAATAAGTACAAACAATTTAATACTTTTTAACACGTTCAAGAAAATAACTTCATGAAGTCAAAACCTAATAGCAAAGTACGACTGATTTATAAAACAAAACGCCCTCTCCAGGGCTGTTGAAAAAGGAACTTTAAAATCTAGTAGAAGGTACTCTTCGAGTAAAAATTGAAATCATTTAAATATATAAATGACAAAATAAGTCAGTGGTGCCGGCACGTACACACACCTCCCCGGCAAGGGCCATTCTTATTCACCGTCCAGTGCTTACATTCGACGGCGACGGCGCTCGGCAAGGCGATGAGGAGGAAGCGGCGTTCCATGGCAAGCTCCCGCCCGGCATACTGCCGCACGGCCTGCCCACCGTCAAGGAGGTCCAGCCTGCAGTCACTGTCGAACCACAGGAGAAAAAGGACGAGGAGAAAGAGAAGAAAGGTTGGTATCGATGTTTTTGCACATTTTGTTGTTACTATATAACTCCTCCAGTAAACCGGGTGACAACGGGCGGTGCCGATTATTTACCGTCAGATAATGTTACGCTAGCTCCCCTATCCCATTAAAAAGAGTGTTTTGAACAAGGAGGTTTATGTTTATAACAGAAAAGTATTGTTGCTGATGAGGACCATGTGGTCCTTGTAATGGACTAAGCATCCTATCACATGAAGTAGAACAGTGCTAGTCTTGTTGAACATTTCTCCAAGTTCCATTTTTTACATTAGGCCTAGTGATTCCCCGACCATTACTAGTTGGTACCTATTTGCTGGAGCCAGGAAAGGAATTATGAACATAGAAGTGAACAATGTCCTAACCATCCAACTCGCCGTTGCAAATATAAAACAAAACCGAAATATTGATGCATCATGTTATTGTAGTTCGTGAGCTGAGCGCGGATGAGAAGCAGACGATCATGCTGTCGGCGGAGTTCCAGCGGTTCATGTCGAAGGCGGGTCGAGTCATCGAGCGCGCCCTGGCGGAGTCTGTCGACATCTACACCGACTACACTGGAGGCGGGGACAGCGAAAATGCACTGTAAGTACTTTGTATAAGGTCGATAGACCTATCACGACTTTTTTTTTGTTGTAATAAGCCTGCAAACGTGTAGTCGGTACCGCCCATGAACAACCCCAGCCCCCACCATTAGAAGAGTTACGATTGCATTGCTGACCGAGTGGGGATTGGATTTTAGAGATTAGAGGTTGAGAAGGGGTTGGGGCATTGGAAGGATTGGACCTACAGTAACCTCACTTAAAAGGCGAAACACAACGCTGTGATTGTTTCACGTTGGTTTTCTAAGAGGCCATGGTATCACTCCGGTCAAGCTGACCAATTCGGACAAGTAGTCTGGCTCTCCCAAACTGATATCCTGACTCTATTCATTTCCATCCTGCAGTGATTCAAATTAAATGTTCATTGGTACTCGCGCCAACTTAATTTCGGCAGTGTTTGGAGATCCGCAAAAACTCAAAGATTATTGAAACACGAGTGGTGTAAATATGTACATATGTTGCCACTGTGGTGTAACAGATAATAAGATATGCTGTCTAAAAATACTTAAATTATAATATTTTTTATAGGTATGACGATGGGTATGCTAGCATTGTTTCGGTAACGTAGTTTTGTAGTGGTATTAACAAACAAAAATACCTTTATTCTGATTGGCTATAACTCAATGATTTCTGTTATGATTTATGATTAATAGTTCATCTTTTACTTTCCACTTAACTATTTATAACTGCGAAACTTTTAGCAAATAATTGAAATGGCTTATCTCGGCAAATACTGCCCTACTACACACCTTGGATTCTAAACAAACATTACTGAGAACTTTGGCGAATACATTACCTTCTAACACACGATTTTCGTTGAGCTACTCTAACGATATCTTTATTGGATTACCATCCTTATGAGTTTGCAGTAAAGTTGTAAATCGATTACTAAATACACTGGTCAACACTGGTTTTGCCACACGAACTTTGATAGCTAATTATGTTTTATCAATCTACCCTCATTATTAAATCACAGTTGCCATATGTCAATTAGCCTCCTATTTGTTGTGATACGGTAATACTCATTAACTAGTACTACGGCAGTAAATTAAAAGAAACGCTTACAAGTTAATCGTTATAAAAATATTTATCGTTGAATTTGAACACTTTTTTGGGATTTATTAACCCTGTGAGCATGTCAAGGAAGTGTATTAATGATCCTACATGTTTTTGTTATGTCTGCGGAGAACTTACATTCAAAAAACAACGACGAAATTTTACAAATCTTGTGATGGAGTGTTATCACCAATGTTTTGGTTTTTCTGTCGCCCATCAAGACAAATCCTGGGCCCCTCATGTCTGTTGCATAACGTATGTGAAAAATTTAACTGACTGGAAAAAAGGTGCACGACCTATGCCGTTTGCTGTACCCATGATATGGACTGAACAGCGAGATCACGTTTCAGATTGTTATTTTTGTCTCACTGACGTAAAAGGTATAAATTACAAGAAAAAAAAACACAGTTATTTACCCTAATTTATCTTCGGCTATAAGACCAGTGTCTCATTGTAAAAAAATGCCAGAACTAATACCAGTTGCAACTACGTCTGTTGAGAACGACAATTCACAACCGTTTACTTCAAGTGTAAGTGATGCAAAGATAAAAGAGGGTATTTTTGTTGGCCCTCAAATTAGGGAGTTAGTAAAAGATTCAAGATTTGAAGAAAAATTAAGCGATTTAGAAAAATCAGCATGGAAGTCTTTTAAAAATGTTGTTGCAAATTTTTTGGGTAACCACAAGAGTGACAGCTACAGAGAGTTGGTTAGCGAGCTGTTATTGTCATATCAAGCATTAGGTTGCAACATGTCACTTAAGATCCATTTTTTAGACTCGCACCTGGATTTTTTTCCTGACAATTTAGGGGCTGTCAGTGACGAGCACGGCGAGAGGTTCCATCAGGATATTTCTGATATGGAAAAGCGGTACCAGGGCAAATGGAGCCCAAATATGTTAGCAGATTACTGCTGGACAATTAAAAGGGACCAACCAAAAGCTAAATATTCAAGAAAATCTCAGATTTTCTAAGTCATTTATAAAAAAATAAACTTTTGATTTACGAGATCGAATTTTTTCTTAATATTTTAAATTACTCAATAGAATAAAATCTTTGTCTAGCAAATTTTTTTTAACTGTTTATTTTTTATTACAATCACCAATTAAAGTAAAAAATATCAAACAGTCCATGTGGCACGACAAAGTTGAAATTTTGTTGACCAGTGATATTTATAGCTTATTATGTAACAAACATGTAATATCCCAGTGACGACAAGTCAGTGGCGCGGCTGTCGCTGGTCCGTACGTTCTGGGACGAGCGCTGGTCGCGCGGGCGCTGCGTGACGTGCGCGGACTGGTCGGCCGTGCACCCCGAGCTGTTGCTGGCCTCGTACCACAACTCGGACGACGCGCCGCACGACCCCGACGGCGTCTGTCTCGTCTGGAACACCAAGTTCAAGAAGTCCACGCCCGAAGACATCTTCCATTGCCAGTCGCCTGTCATGAGTGCTACTTTTGCCAGGTAACTATGAACCATACATCGACGTCCATATTTCAATGCGCTCAATGTCTGTACAAAAAACTTACTTAGATACGCTTAATTTTAATTTTGAACGCGACCGAAATAATTTCCCCGAAAATGACCGAAATAGTTTTCGATAATTGGGAAACATTCGTTAACAAACCTTTTTGGTCCCATAAATGATTTTTCCAGTGCGCTGCGTTTTACCCTCCTGTAAACCTGTGATTTTTGGAAATAATAATTGCAATATACAACATGTAAAAAACCCAAAAAAAGGTCGACGTAGGACACAACTGCTAGTATGACTCAAAACATTGTTTATTAACTCTAATGTGGTATAATTCCAGATTCCACCCTAATCTAATCCTGGGCGGCACGTACTCGGGCCAGATAGTGCTGTGGGACAACCGTGTACAGAAACGTACGCCCATACAACGCACGCCACTGTCTTCACTCGCACACACTGTATGTACATTCTATTTTATCCTTATGGTTGTACTTGTCTATTCAAAAATACTATGATTGCTATTTGCCTCAGATAGAAATCTATGCTTCGAAATGAATAAATAGCTTCCCCAAAATACCCATCAATTAACATTTTTATTGTTTAACATTACAACAGTTTTTTAAGTCAAATAATTTGCCTTTTCAAGTCATTGACTGCCGACATATTATTGCTGAGGGTAAAGCATTCTGCTAGAATGGCCCACATGGCTTTCAACATGTTAAGGTCTAATTTTTTACCTCTGTTCTCTTCCAGCACCCCGTATATTGTCTATCAGTGGTGGGCAGTCAGAACGCTCACAACCTGATCTCAGTGTCGACGGACGGTCGCATGTGCTCGTGGTCGCTGGACATGTTGTCCCAGCCCCAGGAGACGCTGGACCTCCAGCACCGACAGAGCAAGGCCGTCGCCGTCACGTCCATGGGCTTCCCCCATGGAGACGTCAACAACTTCGTGCTGGGCAGCGAGGATGGAAACATTTATACTGGTTCGTTGATTAACAATTAAAACCTGTATTAATATACCCTGCTCCCAAGTTTCTGCACACAAAGTATTGCTAGTCTTTAATCCTTAAAAAGCTTTTATTTTTGAGAACAACTGACAGAGGCGGCGTAAGGCGGTACAGCTGATACAGGGGGCGTCGCGCCTCAAGAATTTTTATCTTTTGTCTTCAGGTTACAGAAAAAGGCTTCGCAAACCTGTCTTGCCCACATTAAGATTAGGTCTTGCCCCGCAACTGAAAACTAATTATTATCGTTTTTTTGTCGAAGTGCGTTGTCGGATTGGAGTTTGCAACTTAAACATTAAAAAAAGAAGCAATCGAAAGACTTATAAAAAAATAGTTTCACATTTTTTCTCATTTAAATCTATTTTGTGTGAGCAGGATGCCTATACGGGCAGCGTGCAGGAGTGACAGAGATGGTGGAGGGTCACGCGGGCCCCATCACGGGCGTGTCGTGCCACGCGGCGGCCGGCTCCGTCGACCTCTCGCATCTCTACCTCACATGCTCCATGGACTGGAGCGTCAAACTATGGACGCAGAAGGTTTAATTTTAAAATAATAATGTTTTTAAAAGTGATTTATTGTGAGGGTCCCAGTATACTTTTGAACCATATAAGAGCCCTAAAATGGGTGACGATATTTGTTTCGGAAGTACAAAATAATATAATTATTTATCCGTACGTAATACAGGAGAACAAGGCGCTGTACTCGTTCGAGGACAGCGGCGACTACGTGGTGGACGTGCGCTGGTCGCCCACTCACCCCGCACTTTTCGCCGCAGCCGATGCCTCAGGCCGCATCGACCTCTGGAACCTTAATAGAGACACAGAGGTAACACTGTCAAAGAAAACATGTGGAGAGCCATGCTTCGGCACGAATGGGTCGGCTCGACCGGAGTGATACCACGGCCTCACACAAAACCAGCGTGTTGTTTCACGTCGGTTTCGTGATCGGCAAAGCACTTGCAGTAACTTCTTTAGTATAACGAGTTGCCATCGGCGGCGCTGATTCCTTACCACCAGGAAATCCGTTCGTATGCAAAATATGACATAAAAAACATGCTATGTGTCCTCTGAAGGAAGTTAAGCTATGGTAATCCTCTAACTTCCTTTGCAAGTCATTAAAATATTCAGACTCTCGTCACTTAACACTTGCCTGAATACAAACCTAAGCATAGCAGGAATTGAAACTTTATTCGAAAGTTTAGCTTACAATTATGTATGATTATCAAGAAAAAATAAAATATCATTTATCGATACAATTTATCCGTTTTGTTCAGGTACCAGTAGCATCGATCCAGGCGGAAGGTGGAGTAGCATTCAACCGCGTGTCTTGGACACCGTCCGGCACTCACATCACCGCGGGAGATGACGCCGGCAAGATATGGGTCTATGAAGTGGCTGAGGTAACACATACATCACCATCCAATAAAATAAATATTCAATTAAAAATTTTAAAAAACCCCCGACTTTATAAAAACCAAATGTAATCCATAAAGAGCCATTTTGTAGAGGCAGCCATCTTGGATTTTAAATTTTTCATACCTAATAGTATTTCACTAGTCAAGCCCTTTCATTTGATACCCATATTGATCAAGTTGTAATAAAAAAATGTAAAGCACCATTTTGTAGAAGCAGCCATCTTGTATTTTAAATTTGTCATATCTAATAGTATTTTACTAGCCAAGCCCTTTCATTTGATACCCATATTGATGGAGTTAAAAAAAAAATATCTAATCTGTCACTTTGTGGCGGCGGCCATCTTGGAACAATTTTCATCAAACTTACGTAAAAACACTCTCGACATTTTCTACTATCAAACAAAAAAAAACTAAATCAAAATCGGTCAAACTTATAACACCCCGTCGTTTTAGCGTCGGGGGTTAAAAATAACTTCTAACATTTTTTTTCAATTTTTAACTTTTTTTTTAAAACAATATAAGTTGAAAATCATACTACTCTGTCAAGAAAGTACCGGGAAAAAGTCAATAATACACAAAATGTTTGTTATTCATCTAAATTTATTTTATCACCTTCAAAGTATGCTCCTTCAGAAACGATACACTTACGCCAACGAATAATCCAATCATCGAAACTTTTTTTAAACGCTGTTTTCGGAATTGAGTTCAGTGCTCGCCGCGAATTCTCCTTTATGTCTTCTAACGATTGAAAACGGGTGCCACGAAGGGGTAATTTGAGTGTGGGAAAAAGAAAGAAGTCGGCTGGAGCCATATTTGGTGAATATGGTGGCTGCTCGATGGTGTTTGTTGAGTGTTTGGACAAAAAATCGTTTACAATGATGGCCTTGTGCGAAGGCGCATTATCGTGATGCAAAATCCAAGAATTTTCTTTCCACATTTCTGGCCTTTTTCGTCGAATTTGTTCTCTTAAACGCCGCATAACGCTCAAATAATATTCTTTATTTACCGTTTGACCTTCGGGCAAGAATTCTGAGTGCACAACACCGCGATAGTCAAAGAAAACAGTCAACATGACTTTGACTTTTGATCGACTTTGACGTGGTTTTTTCGGTTTTGGTTCAGTTGGAAGGCGCCATTCCGAAGCTTGTTGACTAGTTTGCATGTCAAACTCGTAAACCCACGTCTCGTCACCAGCAACAATGCGTTTCATGAATGTTGGGTCGGTATTGACTCGTTCTAGCATGTCCTCAGCGACTTTCATGCGATTTAGTTTTTGAAGAAAATTCAGGTCTTTTGGGACTAGCCGAGCGGCAACACGTTTCCTACCCAAATTATTTGTTAAAATGGTACGGATCGACTCGTGAGATACAGAAAGTTCAGCGGCCATCTCTCTCAAACTTGAATGAGGATTTTCAGTCACTATTTCCTTTACTTTTGCGATGTTAACTTCAGTTGCAGACGTTGATGGCCTACCAGAACGAGGCAAATCTTCCATCACATCTCGACCGCTTTTGAACGCTTTGTACCACTCATAAGTACGTGTTTTTGATAAAGTCGATTCACCGTAAGCCTTCTGTAACATTTTGAGTGCCTCCGAACACGAAATTTCATTGGCGATGCAAAATTTAAGACAAAGTCTTTGTTCGATGTTTTTGTCCATTATGAAATTCGCAATACATACTAGATATTATAAAACTAAAAACAGCACTTTTAAATATAAATAACAGATGCAACTCAAATTCCGCGCCAAAATGGAAAACAGTTATGCCAATCTAACAACAACAAAAAAAAATTCGAATTTGGAACCATAAAAAAAAACATTCATTCCCGATACTTTGTTGACTGAATGTATACATAAAGAAATTTCACAGAGAGGTGTAGGTTAATGGTATGCCACTGTATGTAAATTAAATAAAATGATTTATTCTCTAACTCCTTTAGCATGTCGCCCAACCCCGTCACGATGAATGGACGAAGTTCGTGTACACGCTACAAGAGTTACGTAACAACCAAGCGGACGAGGAGACGGACCGGCTGAGCCTGGCAGCCAGCGGCCCATCCTCGCTCACCAGCCTCACAAGCCTGGCCAGCAACCCACTTAGGTAACTGCTGACCAACCAACGAAGGCCGCAGTGGCCCTTGTGAGTCTATGCTTTGGATATGCTAGTGTGATGTTGATGAGGAAAGACTGTATTTGATGTGAAGTGAGGTGCGTATGTGTATAATATAATATTACTTGATATATCTACATAAAATACGCGAGGAGAATGATGTATCCATTGCTACCAGTCTAGGACTAAAAAATATTGTCTTGAAATTGGTAGTAACTTGGAGGCTTGTATGTGTCTTAATGGTGTAGGAAATATGGCTGAATTTTGTATGGCATATATATTAACCATGTAAGGAGTTAAACTATGATTTAACAGGATGGATAGGTATTCAATATTACATTATCATATTCAAAGTTTGTTCAGAACTGAGATGTGAAGTTGCAGGAATCTTGGTAGGCAAGATTAATGTTTAGTTGCAATATACAAATGTTGCAATAATTTTAATATATTATGCATATATAACAATGTTATATAGATGTTATTAGCATTGTTGATCCTTAGAACTTTGCTTCATTTGTTAAGATTATGAAGAGAAAAATGGAATGGATACAAAGGATATTTTTTCAATAACTCGCTAATTTACAGTAACACGCATATAGCATAAAGGTAGAGCATTCCTTGCACAACTTAAGTTGCTTTGCCTATAAGAGCGAAAAACTAATATGCAGTCATCAATACGGAATATTGAATGTTGTAACTAAACATAATATTTTAATAAAAACATCTCTCTTTTAGATAGAAAGGACTATAATATATAATTTTAATGTTGAATGATATGTATATTAGAGTTTATAAGCAGCTGATGATAATCCTTATTTATTCAGTGTTGTTACTGTGACACAAAATAATGTGAAATTAGAGATTATTACTTTAATTCCATATAGTTAAGTAACTTACTACAACTCCAAAAACTGTTATGTACTTAGTGTTCTACTGAATGTATTTTTATTTTGTGTTATAGTAAATAAAAAATCCCCAGTTCTCTTTTTAAAGACAAATGTAACAGTTAAAATCTAAGTTAGTTTAAGTTTTGTGTTTTCCAAAACTTAGTTGTCTTCATAATTGTATTCATATCGCTAATATTTATTAAGTACAGGTAACTATTTATAGTATTACTCAAACTAAACAGATAATGCTTTATTGTAAAAGTTAAATCAAATAAAATATTGCTTATAGAAATTGTTTGTGAAGTTTCATTTCTTGCCTACTTGACAAGTAAAATATTATAATTCAAGAAACCTACACAACTCTCCCTTTGGTGATATATAGGCAAAGAACTAAAGACTCATCTTTACATACAGGGTGTGAAAAGACAAGTATTATTACAAAACTTTTTCCAAACATTACCTGGATTTTCGATTTTTCTAAATCAATTACGCATTTGAAGTTACGAACAGTAATGTACGTAATAAATAAATGCAGACCCGCACAAAAAACATCGTGCATCTCAGTAGGATTTTTATTTTACAGAATTGTTTTGTTGTTGCGAAGTAAAACGTCGACCTACGTACTTATCACAGCGTTTTCATGCTAAGCTGTGAACCTACGCGCACTATGACACGAAGCCCGTTTGCTTTACATTGCGCGAATTTTTATTTTTTTTATTGATACCTAAAAATAAAAGTAGTTTCCCATTGATAATTTTAGCGTAAAGCTACTTAGTTAGAACTGCAGTATGCATAATAAACGGCTTCGTAAAGTGTCTTTTTACACCCTGTATATAATAGGATCATACTTCAGTAACTTCTGTCACATTTACCATAATTTATGCATCTCATTATCCAAGCTCACTTCTAAATTGAGTAGAGTAAAGCTTAGAACATAATTTTTGGTTAGTATTTTATTTATAAGTACAATACTTGTGAACATGGAATACCAGAGATAAACATACACAGTAATTTATATAAATATTTTATTTTATTATGGGCTGAATGGTATAACAAGTTTTCCTTTAGACAAGTTGACTTCCTCCCAACAAGAGCATGTGAGGGTCTTTCTGTCCATGATGTCTGTGTATATCTTGCCATCCAGGTGGTCCATCTCATGCTGAGCTATCCGTGCCGTCCAGTCTCTATACACTTGAGACTTTTCTACTCCTTCTGCATTAAAACCTGTACAGAGAAATATAAAAATTATTTTATATACTTAAAAAAATGTGGCCATCATTTTCTTACAGGTTCATGGAATACACTGTTTTAATCATACTGAACATAGTTTGATGTAAACACATGCATTATTGTGTTATTTACCTGTAACTTGTACTGCTTTATATCTCGGCACATCAGCTGAATATCCTTGTACACTTTCACATCCTTCACTGTGTATTATCTTTGTGAAGTCAACCACCTTCAGTTTAGGATTGATGTATACCTGGAAAATTTAAATAACAATTAGTTGACTAACCATTGAAGAAATAGCTGATATATTCTGATGCCTTTCAAGCACTTTATTTATAATTGGTCAAAAGTTTACTCACTTACAGTGAATGGTACCTCCTCCATACCCCTAAGCCTAGCTATGTGTCCTGGAACACTAGCAATTTGCTTCACTGTGTGTCTCATTGCAAATATTCTTAAATTTACTCCAATTTGAGGCGCCGACATACCAAGACTGCCGTACTTATTAATTACATACTCTAATTTCTTAATTATAGTTTGGATTTGAGTTGTTTTTATATTGTTTATAGGAACAGGCTCTGAAACTTTACGTAATGTTGGATCGCCGATTTGCACTACATGTTCGTAAGGTGGAGTTGTTTTGCCATGTGCTGGAGCCAATCTGGCGTACCAGTTAAGAACTTTTCTTGTTACACCCATCTTAGTCAGTTTAATTGGCGTATTTATTTATAAGTTTTGGTTATTATTTTTTGTTAGGTTATAATTCCGATCTAATCAGCTGAGTTCAGTTCTGACAGTGAAGTGATGTCAAGTTGTCCACATTCCATCAATCGTTATTTTCCCACATACGATGCATTCACATTTCAATATAATAATTATCCATGGGATTTCATAAAGAAGTATCGCATTTGACTAGCTGCGAAACCTTGGTAAGTTTATTTTTTAATTGTTGTATTAACATGGGCTACGTACAAGAAATTTTAATCATGATATCTGATAAAGTTTGCAATTCCCTTCGTGTATTACAAATAATTTAAATGACTTTGTCCGTCAATGACATTGACGGAATCAAGCTGTCATTTTTTGACAAAACAATACGTATTTTTTGTCGTCATACCGGACGAACGACCACGACCGGTTTTTGGGTAGATTTATTTACTTAAATATTCTATCTTCATTGTTCATAATCATTTCATACAAAGCAGCATATTGATCACTAACTACTTTCCCGGAGTAATGGTGAACTAATAAATTAGTTACTGTTATCGCTAGATAAGAGACGTGATTTTGGCAAGTTATACTTACAGATAACGCTGTTTTTGTAGGTTCAAAGTAAGTAATTATGCAATTTATGTTATCTGTGACGTGATTATATTCCATGTGCCGTGTATACATTTGTATAATTAAAGGTAAATTATAATAATTACAATTATGTTCATTCAATGTTCGTCAAACTGTTGAACTTTGTTATTCTAAAGTCCCGAGTTGTAGTGGAAGGTTAATTTACTTGTATCATAGCACCAAAACGTGATAATTGTTTCACACACAAATTCGGGTCTAATTGAAATAACCCTTCTTGTTGGACAAACTTGTAAGATTGATTTTTGAAACACTTGTTGGTGTTGGTGTTATATTACATATACTATTAGTTAGTATAGCTTAGAGCTAAGTTGATTCAAAGATGAACGTTGTTTGTAATTTTACAATATTATCACATACAAAACTGACTTGGAAACAGAGAGTAGAAATGTGTATAAAAGTCTATTGTGCAAGAAAAGTATTAATATTTCTACTTTTATCCTGCATCAAGTCACATCCTGGTTTTAGTGGTGTTGGAATCCACTGGTAAATGGCCATTGTCTGTAGATAGAAAAAAAAAACAAATAGTTATATTAAACCTCACAATCTCTATCAACAGATGTTTAAGCTCAGTGTCAACCTTACCCGCTCAGCAACACACTACATCAAACGCACAATGTCTAGTCAAGAACAAGATGTGCTGTTTGAAACATTAAACAATGCAGGAATCATCACTTTGAACAGACCAAAAGCTTTGAACTCTCTCAACACATCTATGGTAACAAAGATACTACCACAGCTTCAAGAATGGGAAAATAAGAAGACCTTGGTAATAGTAAAAGGGGCTGGTGACAAAGCATTCTGTGCTGGTGGAGATGTAAAAGCAGCCATTGATAAAGTGGAAGGCCCAAGGTTCTTCTACACAGAGTATAATTGCAACTACCTTATCGGTAAATACAAGATCCCATACATAGCTATCATTAATGGCATTACAATGGGAGGTGGTCTTGGTCTGTCTGTTCATGGAAGGTACAGGATAGCTACTGAGAAGACTGTCATTGCCATGCCTGAAACTAAGATTGGACTGTTCCCTGATGTTGGAGGCTCATATTTCCTGCCCAGGTTGCAGGTCAACTTAGGTCTTTATCTGGGACTCACTGGTAAGACAATACATTAATATCAAGTCATTGTGATCTACAATGTAATTAGGTCTATTGTACATTAACATAACTATAGCTGTATTACAAAAGGCAAATTAGTTTTAATTGGCACAATTAACTCCAACAGCATCAGTTACAAACACAGTTGTGGTACTATAATTTCTGTATGTTATACATACATGAATATTATGTTTAAGATTCCTGTCATTTCTGACCCTTATTCAAATACAGTTAAGGTAACTTTTCAAACAAATTCTCTATTTTCAGGTGACAGACTAAAGGGTTGGGATGTAGTGAAGTCAGGTATAGCAACACATTATGTACCAAGTAAGAGACTGTATGAACTAGAAGTCTTATTATCCAGGTGCACTGATGAAGTGGAGGTTGATAACCTGCTGAACAAATTCCATGAACCTTCAGAACAATTCTCATTGTCTGACAATATCAAACACATTAACTATTGCTTTGCTGCTTCTACTATTGAAGAGATCATTGAAAGATTGGAGAAAGTACAGAATGACTGGTCTGAGAAGACTTTAAAGGTGAGTGAGGAAAAGTAAATCTGAAATTTATTGGAATACAGTCCACTTTTCATTACAATCAAACGGTGCTGTAAGTGAAGTTCATAATGATTTATACATTATACATTCAATTCTGTAGCTCAGATTTGCCTGGTTACTACAATATTATATCATTTTCTTGTTGCCATTCAAAGTAAGTATGATAGTATAAAGATAGTGAATATATTGTGGTCATAATTAGATATTAAATTGAAAATTAATTATTATTGATAAAACATGAAGATGACAGTAAACAAACCAATTTTGATTGTTCATATAACATTGATTGTTCATACACAAATGATTTTATGGACCATGTGGTGTTGATAAGATTGACAAGTTGCATTTTGTTTAAAGGAACAGGCTCTGAATATACCATAACCCTGACTATTATTTTACCTTTAAAAAGTAATCTTTCAATAGGTTTCGACGACTTAAAATATTTTTTGTTTTCAGACCCTCAGCCAGATGTGCCCTGGTTCCCTAAAGATCACATTGCGCGCGCTACAGCGCGGCGCTCAGCTGGAGCTCGGCCAGTGTCTAAAGATGGAGTACCGCGTCGCCTGCCGTGCTACTGAGAACCATGACTTCCCTGAAGGTAAGTTAAAAGTCAAAATAATTTATTTTGAACTAGAATTTTAGAGGCACTTTTGAACGTCGAACGAAAATTAAAGATAAAAAGGTATCTGTCTGAAGTCAAAGGTTTGTAATTTACACGATGCATGTGACGAACTCTGTACTAGTTCAGAAATGCCATTTATGCCTACTTCTGATGGTCTTATGGGGAGGGAGATACATGCTATGTAGTCACTTTCAAGACCACAAACGACTTTTTTAAAGCTTTTCTTATACTTCTTCTGAGATTTAAGTATAGGAGAGCCATGATTGTTATTCGCCGTGTGAGTCAGGTTACCGGAGGCACAATCCCCTATTCTTAAATCCCAAATTACCCACAAGAGGCCGACAACGCATTTGTAGCAACTTTTTAGGGCGAGTGTCCATGGTAGGCGCCGATTGCTTACCACTAGGTAGTACCAGTAGGTAATCCGTCGGCTCGTTCGCTGACCTATCCCATAAAAACATCTTCAGTTCAATAAATACTATGAAAGACCTGTTGAAAGCTGCCATATGTGTCTAAATTTCTACATCATTACTCCTGCTTGTAGGAGTTCGCGCCCTCCTTATCGACAAGGACAACAATCCTCAATGGAAGCCTAAGACCCTCGCTGAAGTAGACGACGACTACGTTGAGAGCTACTTCAAGAAACTGCCACAAGACAAGGAACTCCAGTTCTTCGACTCCAAGCTGTAAGCTTTGATTCTTGTTACGTAAGCAGTAAGGTTCGAAATTATGCTGCGATTGCTTCAGGATGTAAGCGAATTTATAATATTTTAGTGGCTACTGATATGTCATCATTTATAAGTGTTTTTTTACATTATTAAGATCATGATCAAGCATATTAACATAATCACATTACGCAGTGCTTCCTTCATTATTGGCCATTGTTATGCAGGTATTGCAAGTGTTACCATTGTTGAAAATATTTTAGAATCGAACCTTCATTCCCTGTGACCTTGCGTATGTAAATGTACGAATAAATAAAATACTAATCTAACAATTTGAATGTATTGTGTGTAAGCAGTGTTTGTTTAAGATATATTTTTTAGCATTTTTATTCTCAACGCATTTCAGTAGCCACATTTGACTGATAAGAAATATGGTGCAATTTGTAATGCAGTTCATAGCCATATAGTATAGATGCCAGGTTTATTTCTAAGTCTTCCATTTAAGAGTTCCTTAGATTTTTTACATTTTTTTTTTCATAAAATTTTATAATGTTTTGTTTTCTTTTTCTACCAGTATAGCTAAGGGCTCGAACCTGTTTACGATACTCATTCAGCGATCTCTTTATCTAAGTGAAGAGATATTTCGTACAATGAGCTCATAAACATTTGTAATGCCAATTATGGCGTTCAAGTGCAATTAAAAACATTTTTTACCCAAGTGCCCTTACATATTAGATATATATGTACCATTTATAATTGGTTTGTCATGTTTAATGTATCATGCATTTTCTATACCTACACATTTCATCTAGATAGTCATTTAGTGCAATTAAGAACGTGGATAAGGCAACTAGGTCATTAGTTAACACGTAAAATATGTTGCGAAAATGTGCCTTCTTTTTATAAACTAATAAGGTAGGTTTTTCATTCTTTCCATTATAGTGTGAGGTTATGTCAGTTATAAAGATTGTCTTGAGCTTTTGTAAAGAAAAAAGAAATGGACCTAACTCTAAGGCAATGTATATGCATTTATTTCGATTTATTTACAAATTTTAAACAAAAATTAAACCTATGTACTTTATTTGGATGTATATTTTGTGTAAAAATGTATATTAAACGTGTTTGTTGTCTGTTAACGTTAATCAAATAAAGAGCAAATTATGTACTTTGTATAATTTTGTTTTATTAGTGTCAAATTATAGATACTTTTTTAACTGCGGCGCCTCGTATCCACGTCTTTTAAAAGAAACAATGACCCATCTGATAAACTTGTATGCAATCAATTCGTACCTAAATCTTGTAAAAAAATTACAGACACGTAGGGTTAGTAGGACAGCGCTATAATAACTAGCCCAGTTGGAACCACAGCTTCCTGAAAAATTATGAGCATTATTAAGTAGAGATACACACAAAAGGATTTGTTCAAAATATTGACCAAAACCCGAATTGCCGAAGTAAATCTTTCCCCTCCCCCGATCCCTCCCTAATCCCTTAATCTCCAAAACCCCAATCATTAAAAGGTCGGCAACGGACTCGTAACTCAGGTAAGACAACGTCAGGTAATCCGTCAGCTCGTTTGCCGACTTATTTAAGTACAAAAAAGGCCAAAGCAATGTTTATATCCATGTAGCCCATAGAAACGAAAATGACAAAAAATATACCAAACACAAGCTGGCACACGCCATTTACAGATTAGCACCAATACTTATATTTTAATTGATGTTATCAACTTCCTGAGGCGCACTGAGGATTGGTATTAGCAGTTCTCCCAGCCAGAGCTGAACATGGGAACACACTGGGACGTTTTCTGTCTGGTGAGTAATATACTTAGTAAATAAGAAATAGGAATACTATCTACCTACTAAAGTTTTAAATTTTAACGGAAATCTCATATTGACGACATGGGACAAGCCGTTTGATTAGTACCTATCAAAATGGTTACATGTTTAGAAAAAGGGTGGCTGCCCAGAGGACACGGTGAAGCACACGGTGGCGGTGTGCCCTGCTTAGGTTGAACACCGCCGTGTTTTCAGAGAAGTGATGAGCGGCGGCTACCTTTGGCCTTAGTCGAAGCCACAGTACGGAGCGAGAGGAACTGGGAAGCCGTCTTCACTTTCTATGAAGCAGTTATGCTCGCTCGCCGTAAGCGCGGGTCTACGGTGACTAAGGGTAGCTCGCCGCCCGACCAGAACTAGGCCTCAAAGAGCCTATAGACCACCACAGACGGACGCCACAGGGCTTATGTTCAGCCGGGGTTGCGGGGCAACCGCAGTGAGTTACAGCTGCCATCTTCTGTTCAGCCTCACTGTTATTGTGCACCACTTTTAATTCAATCCTCAATGCCCCAATTTGCACATAACCATAAAATAAAATAAGTATATTAAAATAGCCGACTAGGTTCCACAAATATTCAGTACGCTTAAAACCTTAATGAAACCGTGTGCTGGTTTAGCAAGCCGAATATAAAAATAAATTTATTCAGACTGATTAGTAATTTCGTCGTTTTTGTTTGCTTGTAAGTCCCAGAAAAATTGTTTATGTCGAAAATCGCATGTGATTTTACTAATGAATAAATATTACTATTATATATAAGCAAATTAGTAGGTACTATACTACTATTGCAAGATATGGTGCTATTGCAGTGCAGAGGTAAGTAGGTATGATAAAAACGACGCATATTTATTTAATGCTAAGTTGTGTTCATTGAAATCAATAGAAGCTCTGAAAATGATAAGCCTACGCTGCCTACGTACCTAGTACCTACCCATTATAAGTAAGAATGTACATAGATTTAGTTGGTTTGGACGTACATAGGTAGTAATAATGTATGATGTGTTTTTAATAAACATAATTTGAAGGTTTCACCAACGTTTCTCCAAATATGTTTTCTCTTTTAGTAAATGACTTATCAAGCACACGCTTTTTTTGCCCCGATGGTTATAAGAACAATTTTCAATAAAAACTCTAGGACGAGGGCATTTGATGAATACCTACATCTCTGCAATCTTTAACGAAAAATAGTAAAAATCAATTAACTTTCTTAATTGGCCAGATCATGGTCGGTTGCGAGTACCTAGGTACCTAATAATAAGACAACCATAATAACTAGCTAAATGACAGAATTACGTATAGGAATTTATATAATGGGCCTCCCTCATTTTGTCATACATTTTACATTTGAAAAGGGGTTGAAATAATAGATGATTAGGTACATGAAACGCCGATCAGTAGGTAAACCATTATTCTGAACTAGTTGATTGCTTTTAATTTCTTTTCGTAATAAGAAAATTTGGATTACAAACGGGTTGCGGATTGCGCAATAAGGTACCGCGGCCCCCCGCCCTGAAGCAGGAGGAAGGACGGGGTGGTTTTTAGTCAGAACGATTCTGACACTTCCTCGTGCCTCAACGTGGGTAAGAGAGGGCCATTGATGATTTTGCCCCTTATAAAGAAAACGTTTGCATGGTGAATGTTATACATATTATGTTTTTCTCACACTTTTCTTTGGACTGCTAAGGATTGAAAAGCAAATCATTGGATATTTCATAGAATATAAAAAATAATGTTGTGCCTACCTTTAATTTAAGAGCATACACTAGGTAACTGTTGTATGTCATTTTCGTAAGTCTGTCTGCATTAGGTATCTTACTAAAAACTACTACTACTACTGACATTATAAAAAAAATCACTAAATACAGCAAAAGCTGTTTTTTTTTAACACAGCTTACAACCTAGTTAATGTAGGATATACCTACGTCTATGTTATTATAGGTACCTATATTGTTACTATAGTCTTTACTCAATTGCCCTATCTTATTACGTAAGCATGTAACATGTAACAGTTTATTCTGTCACAAATTCACAATCTACATATTATTTAGGAGCCTATGTTTTTTTTTACTTTTTTTTAAATACGTCGCCCCACTCTAGGATTTTCTTCTGTGTCGTGGACGCGGTTACAAACATACAATATCACGTGCACAAGACGTGTGTTTTTCCGTGCGGGAATCGAACCTGCGACATGTTGCACGGCAGCCAATGTAGGTAGGTAACGTTGTGGTAGGTAATGTCGAGGAGGCTCTGACGTTGAAGCGCCCGCCCGCTTCTCATGCATGAGGAAGTGCGGATTCGAAACCGTGCAAATACCTAATACCACGCACATTTTCTGAGTTAATTCTACTTTCTTCTTTAGGCACTTCTGACGTAAGTACAGTGAAGAAAAACATCGTAAGGACACCAGGGTCTTATACTTTCCTTATTCCAGGTCTAGACCGTGGTACATTATCGCGCTTACACCTGCAACCCTGGGTGAGACACTTACAGGCCGATGATGTTGATGATGAAGTTGATACAGCTGAAGTGGTCAAAGTAGCCAGTGTCACATCAGTTCACCCACTGCAGCCTTTTACATACACCCTTAGATACTAAGAAATGTAGAAAATTATTGATAAAATAAATAATTTACAGTTTGCAGAAATTTTCTTTATTGCTTTTCTAAAAACAACATATACAATAACTGATATAATACATATATACTCCCATGAGTAACTACTTCATGAAATGGTCAAAGACAATTGCGCTAGGAAACATTATCATATTATAGACTAGCTTTTGCCCGCGACTTCGTTCGCGTGGACGTTCAGGTTCGTCCCGTCTAGTCTAGTAATAAGTAAGAAATACGGTAACTAAGCACTGCAGAGCCCTAATCATAGGTCTATAGGTAGCTACTGCAGTATGCTCCTATAAACTACATTTAACGATATTTTTTCCTTCAGCATAAACATGCAGATTCTTCGATTTGGAAACACGTGAGCAAGCCACATAGAACTGACCATGAAAAAAACATGGCGTGTCGAAATGTAGGCCCGCTACCTTCAAGGTTTGACCCTGCGATTTGTTGATCGTCATTGAAAATGCGACTTTTAATGGGAACTGCAGGCGTTTAAAATTGAAGGGCAAGTTGTTGGGTATGATTGGGATGCGCGGTATAAGAACATTGTCTCCCTTGGCTTCTCCAGTTAAAATTGTAGCCTTCACTATATGCCTTCCTAATTCGGTAACTCGCAACAGAGTACCGTTGCATAATCTTGGCGCATCCAGGTTAAGCATTAACAAAACGGGTACGCCTACCTTTAATTCCAACTTGTGTGATGGCACCCGGGCGGGACAACTCTAAAGAGTTTAGGAACTCTACGAAATAACTTGTAGTGTCATCGGATGACATAACTGTGTCAATAGAATTATACACTGATGTTTCGCTGTTTATTTCGGCCAAGGTTTGCAATGTAAGCGCAAAAATGTGTTTTTTTACGACCTCACATTAGAAACCTCAAAAATTGTAGCCTATGTGTTATTCTGATGTATAAGCTATATTGTGGTAAAGTTTCATTCAAATCCATTCAGTAGTTCTTACGTGAAAGAGTAACAAACATCCATACATCCATACTTACAAACTTTTACCTTTATAATAGTAGTATATATTTAGTAAACATATAATATACATTCAATGATATTACATTTAAATTAGAATATCACTGAAAACACGGAGTAAGACGACTTCACGATCTGAAATCAAAAGTACTTATATAATTTATGAATAAGTTTATTAATTAGACGTAAAGACACTTAGCCTTATGTAACGCATTACACCGAGCATCTCACTGCTAACCATATATAGCTGCTAACTCCCGTCTAAATATTTCATCCAAGTATATACAGTTACTCACTTTAATATAGGACTGATACGAAAGATCTATGTATCCCAAGCCTTTTAGGACAACAGGTGCCTGTAAATAAAATTTAATATATTTATTTAAATACGTAATACCAAATAATTAAATTTTTCAATATTACAAAAAAATATAATGAAGTAATATATAAAAATAAGAGCCAGCAGCAGCGGGAGAAAGGTTCGAGCTACCGGTGGTTGGGGCTCCAGAGACAGAAATCTCCTTACACTATGTGTCGTTTCAAGGAGGGCTGCCTTCTGTATGAGGCCTTCGATCTATCCGCCTAACGTCAGCCTCTTTTAAGGTAGTCGACGCTTTTGGGGACTACGATAGGCGAGTCCACACTCCCCATGTCAAGAACAATTTATTAAATATTTGTTAAATTATTTAATTATTATTAGCATCGTTGGGAAACAATTGACAATCACAACACAGCCTTTGATCCCTATTTTTTTTAATTATGGGAATAGAATGTTTGTGTTTTGGTTGTTCTTTATATTATAGTCATAACTAGTATATACACATGTAACTTCATTATTAATGTATCTCTTTAAATTTTCACCATAGTTTCTTTATGTTCTTTTTGAATTAAGTAATTATTATTACAAAATGTCTGCTTTAAGTTTTGCTGTGCCCTGAAAGCCAACTCTGCAACACTTTTTTAAACAAGATGAAACTGGATAAGTAGGTAGGTAATATCTAAGCTTGTTGTTTAAACTTAATAAAGTTAAGTAAGTTACTATCTACAATTCTGGCTATAATTTTGAAACGAAATCGAATTATTATTATATTAAATTACTATAAAGCAAAATTAACGTGGTACCTGTGCTTGTGACATGGTTAGAACCACGAGCTTTCGGATGCGCACTGATGATAATCCTTGACAATGGTACCAACCAGAGAAATATATGGCTGTTCCCAGATGTGAAGCCTAAAATATTATATTGATCATCAGCTAGTATACATTCACTGCTAAATACTAGTAAATACGTCCTCTTCAAGTCTTACTTCAACAGTAACATCTCCAGCGTTCCACATGTAGAAGCCAGTGCTGATAAGCACAGCCGTCGCAGTAAACCCCGCTGAGCATAAGTTCACAAGGGTGCGTTCCGAATTCTTTACAATAAAAAGTTTCATTATTAAACAAAAGATACACGCACTTAAGGCTAGAAGCGAATGGTCACCGTCAAAATGAGCAGTTGGCATGTAAAGTACCTACTTTAAAATCGTAAGACACAAACATACCGCCATTTGTGCCATAAGCACAACTAGAAGTAAAATATTGAAGATGATCTGCCCGCTGAACACCCCGCGGCAGACAGACTGTGTCAGCTGCGTACATCTGTAATAACCGTACGAGCTTAACTTACTACATTTTTATGTCTTGGATATAAAAATTTTGTACGATGTAATGCGTTACTTAAGGCTAAGTGTGGGAAAGCTTCGGCACAAATGGGTCGGTCGACCAGAGCGATACCACGGCCTCACAGAAAACCGGCGTGAAACAACCACAGCGTTGTGTTTCGCCGTGTAAGTGGGTTACCGGAACCCCAATCCTTCCCTAATCTCTAAAAGGTCGGCAACGCACTTGTAACTCCTCCGTTGCAGGTGTCCTTGGGCGGCGCTGATTGCTTACCATCAGGTAATCAACCTGCTCGTTTGCCGACCTACTACATAACAAAGTAGGTACATTATAAATATTGTGTTATAAAATTCATATTATTACACATGTAGACCAAATATTTGAAAGATGAGATAAAAATAAAGGTTACAAGCAAAAAGGATTACGGTTATAGCTATAAGCACTTGTGAACAATGAGGTAACGCAGATGCGATGATCCTTTAAGTAGAATCAATCATAAATCGATTAGATACAATTTGTACCTTAATGTATCCGCATGCAGCTTGATTCCAACTTTAAACCCAGCCTCATACTGATTTTCTTTCTCAATCTGACTGAGATCATTCCTCTCAAAGATGTCATTAAGACTGAGGAAGTAACTCTGAAGATTTTTGTATTGGTAACTAAGGCAGGTAGTTAGGGAGATGACCAGAATATAGACTGCGAAGATCCTGGTCAGGAACATCCACCAGATTATGAAGCAAATGGCCCTAACCAAGTTGGCCATGTCAGAGTCGTCCTCGACGGCTGGATACGCGGTGATAATAGTAGTAAATGTGTTACCTACAAAAATAGATTCGTAAAATAAACCTGTTGGGTGTTTGATTTTATCATAAGATGCTCAGATACTAAAAAAATCCTGGTTATTTTTAAATTTAAATCTATGCCTTTTTTTCTTTACTACATTTTTATTTTTTATTACGTTTTATTTCTCTGTTTATGTTATTTTAGTTGTGGGAGAGCCATGCTTCGGCACGAATGGGTCGGCTCGACCGGAGTAGTACCACGGCCTCACAGAAAACCTGCGTGAAACAACCACAGCGTTGTGTTTCGCCGTGTGAGTGAGGTTACGGGAAGCCCAATCCTTTCCCTCCCCCAATCCCTAAATCTCCAAATCCCTAAAAGGTCGGCAACGCACTCGTAACTCCTCCGTTGCGGGTGTCCATGGGCGGCGCTGATTGTTTATCATCAGGTAATACGTATATTCGTTTGCCGACCTATCAATTAAAAAAAAATGCTAGTTTACCATTTCGTACGACTTCCCAGAAGCCTTCAGCAGCGTACATGATCATCGACATTAAACAGCTTAGTAACAAAGCGGACAAGTACATGACAGTGCACGCAATCATCTGCTTCTCTACTTCAGGGTCGTTGTGCACTCTCTTCAGGCCCACGGTGAGGCTGTACATCACCAGCCTTACTCTCTCCTTGATGCTGGTCATCATCACGCGGAACATGAACAGCATTGGGTGGGATATGGCGTAAATAAGCCGGTTCGACTGCTGCTTCTCCGTCAACCCAGTCTGCGTGAAATACGAACATAATTCGAAAATAATCAACAAAAATATTAATGTGTTGTTAAACATTGAAAACTTGTCGTAGAATTTGACGAATTTTTTTGTTAATTTCAGGTCTTCTATCCAAAAGTTTGGTAGACCAAACGTGTAGATTATAAAGTTGATCTTATAGAAGAAGTTTGTGGTTTTGCTGCGAGTATACGAAGTCGTGGTGGTCTCCATCTTTCGAGATATTTTAGCAGACTAACTGGTAAATTCTCAGATCAAATAGTCAATTTCTTAATTTGAATAATTAGGGCAATTTTGTGACGACTATCAATCACAGGGAAACCCTTTCCGAGAGGGTTGTCGAAAGTAGCGCCTCGAAATGTTGTTTTAGTTTATCACATACCTACGTAACACCACATCGATTGTGAGAGAGACTAATATTAATAAAAAAAAAACAATAAAATAAGCTACGTATAATATCGTAAAAAATTGTTCAAATAACATATTACAATAAAAATATCATTTTTATGCCCGTTTGTACATCGGAAATGGAGTACCTAATCTGGATGATTAGATTATTATGAATTCTCGTGTTTTTTAATCACTTACAAAGTTTAGATGTAAAGCTTTGTAAATACGAATGCCTAACAACCCTAAAGAAATAATTACAGCTATCTAGGTATATTTTCTAAATATTAAGCTGTTATGGTGAACGCTGCGTAATAGAGCAATTTTCATTCATTTCATAGACGCGAGTGATATTAAGTTGTTACCTTCAAAAATTTTACAACTGCTAAATACAGTTAGCTACAAAATAAACAAATTTTCACAAAGAAAATATTTTTTTTATATCAAACCACAAACTTTTTAACGAGTTGATAGTGAGTATTTCTCAACGTAGGTACCGTTCTCATTTGATATAGGTATCATTGATCCTTACTTATTATGTAACTTACTTTTCGTATTTTGATTAACAATAAGCAACGTGAAACTTTAAAGTGAGATAACCAACTATTTCAACAATGAGACCCATCCCATACATAACTGATAAAAAATTGATGAACTCAATGTACCACTTTTTTCATTTGACATGGCGGCAAACGAGGTCAAGCTAAACAATTGGCGCCGCCCATAGACGGAATTTGGTTACCGTTCTTTTGGGGTTTTCAAGGATCCAGCGACTGGGTAGGGATAGGGAGAGTGTAAGGATTGGGTTTCACCTTACTCACACGGCGAAACACATTTCTGGGATTATTTCACGCCGGTTTTATGGGTGTTATCACTCCGATGTAACTTGCTAATTCGTGCTGAAGTTTAGCTCGTTTACATACTACTTACTACTTCACCTACTTCAGCTGTTAGGTGAGTTAATAACCATGTATGCTCATACTTCCTTCGTATCTTTCGTCATACATATTAAAGGATTGTTTTGGCTTTCTAGAAGAATGAAATAAACAATTTATAATATCAGTAAACAGTCATTCCTATTGTTGCATTACGACGCATAATTATATGCCTGATGGTGATTCCCATGGAAAATAATATAATAAACAAACTTGTAAACATCAGTAAACTTGTACTTGCATTTATTTTAATAAGCAGTTATAAACAAAGAGTAGTAGAAACATTATAAAGGATTAATGAATACTATGTAAAACGTGTTTCTTTTTTTATACAATACTTATACGAGTTTTGAAAACGTTTTGTGTGTTTGTAACAATATTTACGTAGTATTAATTAAGATCGTTGCACTTCATGTAAGTGACATTGATTTTCTAAGATTATTTTATTTATATTTTATGTTTTTAAAACCCACATACATAAATTACAACTTAATTACACACATAACAAGTTTTTACAAATCGCTTGTTTTTAATATTTTTCGTTGACAGTAACACAAACATATGGAAACAAGTGAATACAGATTAATAATAATAGTTATGTACTTAAATACATTGATAATAAAGAAAAATATTGCAATATGATAAAATTAGGATGGTAGACACGCACACACTCAAACCCTTCAAATACCCCATCTAGTCAGCCAGTAATCTCGTGCGAAAAAAAATATTACACATCGCCCTAACAAAGATCAATGTCAACTTCCCGACAAGCAGCATTAAACTTGCGATTGATAAGCCCTGAATATAGTTGAATGCATTTTGCCGATAGATGCTTAAAAATCCTATGCTAATATAGTAAACATGATCGTTAAGTGTCAAAACGTCATTTAATGTGGAATCACATATATGACACTGACACTATTCTGAAAATTAAATTTTCTTCATAAATAATAAAAATTACAGAGTGATAAATACTATATAAAACAATTATTGTACAAACAGTCCTGCAAGCGACTAATTAAATAATCAATATTTCATAGTATAAAACAACAGACCTTCCTTTCTTCCTAGCTACTTTTCTTTGTTAGTTCTTGAAACAGTTTGACGAAAACACACCAAATTCTCAACAAAAATGAATTTCTTCAAAACCCCTTACATACCTACAGAGCAGTATAAAGAAACAAACACAACGAGACTGATCGACAAGTACAGCAAATTCTGGTTCCTATGCTGCTGTCCTGATTTCTGGGTTAAGAAGGTCAATTACCCTGTCTCCTTCACCAGGGTATACAGACCTTCGATGCTGATCAACCATATAGTTATGGTGATATTTTGCTCCTCCTGTTTCCTCTCGCTGTGGACCCAGGATGGCCTCTCCCAAAGCCAAAAGTCTGATAGACTCGCGTACGCAGCATCCACACCCATCATCACCGTTCTGTACCATTTCGTAATTTTATATTACACAAATGATGTTAGACAGGTGTTCTACAAACTGGCTGTAGTTCTCAAAGTCGATCATAATGACGAAAAAGCTGAAGAGGAAATGATAAATCAATCTAAGTTTCATAATGGAGTATTTTTCTCATCTTGTGTCTGCAATATGTTACTTGTTGGACTGTATAACTTTATTAGAGCCGTTACCTCAGGTATTAGACCTAAATATGTGTAGTTCGTAAGAATTTATTTAATTGAAAAACTAATAAAGAACTTAAAAAATACGATCACTAATAAAGAACTTAAAAAATATATTATAAAAATAGTTCTTTATTAGTGATCGATGTTGAAAAATGAATTATCAAGTACAATAATATTTTAACCATCCGACTCGTAGCAAACGTGCTATATTTGCGTAGTACTCGTAGCAGGGTACTACGCTGACGTAGCACAGATAATCCTGCTACGGTTTTTGTGTTACAGGATTTTTGTACTGTTGTATGTTGTTGCTTTAATGATCAGCTTAGCTGAGTTTTATTATAACAAATACATTTATTCTAATCTTGATATTTATACACTTTTTTGATTTTTTTACTTTATACTTACTTTATTTTTCTGTTTGTGCTTATCAGATGCTACATTTATAACATGCATATCAGCATGGCCAGATATAGAAGACCGGTCTACTCTGGCGGGGCTGACGAGGGTGGTGGTCTACTTCCTCTGGTTCTCCCACGTGACTCGCAACATGGGCGTCTTTCTCATCATACACACGGTGTTACTGTTACTTAGCCAACAGTACAAGAATTTGCAGAGCTACTTCGAGGATCTGAACAAAATATTCCTAGAAAATAACCTAACTCAAGAGGAAAAGGAATTAAAATTTGAAGTGAGATTTAAAAGGGGAATAGAACAGCACGCGCTTACACTGTGGTGAGGGGATTTTATTGATCTTTTATCATTTTATATCTTTTTCTTTTTCATTTTAAGAATAAATTAATACAGAAAATGTACATGTTGTGGAATACCATTTGACCAGGTCTTGGGTGATACAAGGCCTGGTCAATTGGTATTCCACAACATGAGAAGACCTAACTTCAGATTGATAAAGCGGTAATTTTGTCCTTTTGTAAGCGAATACTATCTATGTATATCACAGTATCTACTACACATTTATGAATTTTAAATATGTTCCCAGGTGTGTGGACGAGACACAACGCATCTTTAAAATAACATTCAGTTCCCACGCACTGCTTTGGTGTGGTCTACTCATCTCCATCCTTCCCGATGTGTTGGTGAGTCTATACAATGGCGGATAAAGCATACGGGGGTTCTTTAGGGAAGCAGAAGGTCCATCTATATCATGAGTTTTACTCAAAAGCTTATTCTAAGGCCTAGGGGAGTAAAGTGTTAAGCGGGTTGGCTGGTTTATTTTTTATTTTATTTTATTTAATAAGGTACATCAACAATACACATAAAATCGTTTTCTTAATTTTATAACTGAGACAGAGTTCTAGTATGTATATCTTTAACAGATGTACACATCACTTACCGTATATAAACATAAACACTAAACTAAGGAAAATTACTAATACATTAAAATTTAAATAAAAATATCAACTTAATTAATAACGTGAATCAAGATTAAGATAAAAATAAAATAACATGGCTGGTTACATGTGCATGACGAAATTTCTTCTTAATTTTTGATACTTGGTTAAATCGACACTAAATCCAAATGTTTTGTACCTTACTGTACCTACATACGATCAAGGTCATTAAAGACAGATTATTGGCATACTTGGAACAAATAACATGATTGATTAATTGATTGATTGACTGTGATTAAATAGTTGAAGACATTTGCTTAATTTGTGTTACCCGACAAATGTGGAAGCAAGGAACGGGTGCAATTTTCGAATGTATTCGATCGGTTGATAAAATTATGTAAAAGGAGTATCTACGTATTAAATGACAAATATCATTATAGGATAAGATCGGATAGGATAGAATAACTTATTTTTACCGGGTAATAGACAATAAAATCATTTTTTAACCTTAATCCGTACTAGGAAATCTTGTTACCCAAAAGTCCAAAACAAGTATTTTCTACGTTTGGTTTTAATTTCAATTTGATCCTAATAACTGATAAGTACAACAAAATGTATTGAATCTGAGCATTCTTTAACAAATAAAATGAGACGTTAATGACTTTCAGAACAACGACACGCATTCACCGACCATGCTGGTTTCGAATGCGCCGAGGGTCTGTGCAGCTCTGGTTGGTCTAGGGTACTTCATGTGGCCAGCAGGGGATATTACTGTTGAGGTTTAATAATTTCCATTGCTTACTACACTATATTTAATGTGATATAAATGCATCTGGTATCGACATGCTTAAGTGCAAATTTATTTTATTTGTTTAATAATATTAATGGTAAGCAATCAGCGCCGCCCTTGGAAACTCGCATCACAAGAGAAGTTACAAGAGCGTTGCCGACCTTTTTGGGTTTTGGGAATTTAGGGATTGAGGGAGGGGAAGGATTGGGCCTCCGGTAACCTCACTTACTCGGTGAAACACAACGCTGTGGTAGTTTCACGACGGTTTTCTCTGAAACCGGTGGTATCACTCCGTGCCGAAGGATGGCCCACCCACTCTTACACTTTTCATATAGTTTTAAGTAAAATAAAGTATTTCAGGCTTCAAATGTACCGCACGCTATGTACGGGTCTGGATGGCAGTGCTGCCACGACAGGTCTTCAAGAATCAGGAAGCTGGTTGTCTTGGCGATGATGCAAGCGCAGGTAGGAAACTTTTAATACTTTATCAATATAAAGAGATCATTTCCATTTATGTGATGATATGATTTTCTTTTCTAGAGGCCAATAGAACTAAAGGCTTTTGGACATTTGACATTCTCTTACGAAACCTACGTAGCGGTGGGTACCCTACGCTTAAAGATGATGTTGTAATTATGTTTCCGCTACTAGATTTCACTGATTGTTTTGTTTTTTTTTCAGATTGTCAAGATGTCATATTCTCTCTTTTCTGTATTGTATTAACGTTTCAATTGACCCTTACCTACCGATACCACAAAAGATTATAGTTATTTTTCGTAAACTGTTTGTGAATTATTTAATTTCGTTTATTGTGTATTTCAATAAAATTTGACACTGTACACAAGGTGGTTTTTTTTTCATAACATCTTTAAACACATATAGTCAGACTTTTAATTCGATTCCTGATTTGACATTGACCACTGTCATTTTGTGAAATAATGATACCACATTTATCAGTGTAGTGATGAACACAAAAATCGATAAACAATCAGTGAATCAGTTTCAGGAAGGCATTCAAAAAATTACGGCTACCGAATGGTCTAAATGTGTATCCCATGTTTTCAAAGAAGAGGAAAAAATGAATAAGCTAGATATTTAAATTGACAATAAATATCACAGACACAATTCATAATAAATACATTTAGTATTTACATAAAGTAACAGCGATAGCGATTGCGATGACGGTGACAATTTATAAAATGTCTGTTTTATTTGTCACGTTCCGCCATGATCACATTTTTTATTAATTTCACACACAATTACAAAAGAAAAGTCTCAGATTGTTAATTAATTGTCAAAACTAAATTATCGGTTCAAAAATATTTTATTTCCTGATAAACTTAGTTTACGAGAGTAAATTTATAAACGAGAGGAATCGATTCAGAAATATTCGATTTCCATATCGAATAATTTCGCAACGTCACTATTTATTACGTGTCATAACGTTGCAACACCGAAATTGTCAAATCTGGAATGGAATTAAAATTCCGAGTATAGTCAACGATTTAAGGAAATTTATAAAACGTTTCTGATCACTCTTTACATAGATGAAAGTTCTGGAAAACATTATTTAACCCAATTAGAAGTCTTTCTTTGTTTTCCAAATTAATAGCCGCTGTTGTAAAGTCTATGCGGTAATTTGTAGCCATTAAACCCTTTGATGTTTGCATGAAAAGGAACAAATAAAACCACTACTTATCAGATAGGCATCTGCAATGCAACTTGATAGACTACTGGAAAAAAGTTTTTAAGCCGAATAAAAGCATTCATTTGAATCAGACCATAACGTAGATTAATATATCTTCACAAAATGTGTGATAATAAAAATATGTACAAACCAAACGAAATGACAAAATTATTAGGCAAATTAAATGTAATCTGCTTTATTTTCGGCCTGAGAAACATCTGGGTGGAAGATGTAAAGATGCCAAACAGGTTTATCAGCACCCGCTCTTGCAACAGAATCTTGTATTTCGTTGAGATTTTCTATGTGATCTTCGCCACAACGATCTTAGGGTCATTGTTTACACAGAAGAATTTGTCGCAGAAGCAGAAGATGGATCAGATGATGTTCAGTGTAACTCTGCCTGGGAACATAATGTTCCACTACATCTTATTGTTCCGCAGACATGCGATCAGGAATCTTCTGTACCATCTAGCAGTGGTGCTGAAGGTACACTACAACGATCCTGATTTAGAACGAGAGATGATCAAGAAGATAAAAGTATTCTCTGTAAGTCTCTGCGGTCTTGTGGGGACAGTGGTCGTATCTTATGGGTTGAGTGCATTTTACAGAGTCATTACTGCAGGTAAACCGCCTTGGTATATTATTGTATACCTGATAACAAAGATTGTTAAACTTCTTTTCAAAGCTCTGTTTTCAAAAAACTGAGACAATCTATGACGATGAAATTAAGGAACAGAAAAAATAATATCCCTTATTACATTATTTCCAGGTGAAACCTTTGTAACAATAACATCAGCTTGGCCAAATGTCCACGATAGGTCTTTCGCAGCAGGTGTAGTCAGAGTTTTCGTCTACTTCTGGTGGTACCCCTTCGCAGCACGGATCATGGTCACTTTCTTAATGCTAGTCACCATGCTAGTTTCCATATGCTATCAGTTTAAGAATCTACAGAGTTATTTCTATAGTCTGGATGAAATATTCTGTGATGGTACTCTGAGTCAAGAAGAGAAAGAGAAAAAATATGAAGACGCGTTTAAACTTGGAATACAGATGCATTCGCTTACATTGTGGTGAGTATGCAACTACATAATTGCGCCTTTTGCCATTGAAGTGTGGGATACCCACGGTTTGGCACGAATGGTTCCACTTGGCCGGGGTAATACCACAGGGAACCGGCGACACAAACAAACATAGCGTTGTATTTCGCCGTGTGAGTGAGGTTATTGGAGGACCAATTCTTCCCGTCCCCCAAATTCCTAAATCCGCAAAACCCTAATCTGTAAAAGGTAGGCAACGCACTCATAACTCTTCCGTTGTTGTTGTCCATGGCCGGCGCTGATTGCTTAACATCAGGTAATACGCAAGCTCGTTTGCCGTCATAACAAATATTATATATAAAAATGGATCGCAAAATGTGTTGGTAAGCGCATAACTCGACAACGCCTGGATCAATTTTGCTAATTCTTTTTTTGTTGTATTTGTTATTGTCAGGAGGTTCTTATCAAAGAAAATATTAGAAAAGTAAAGGGAAAGATTAGGAAAAGGTGACCCTTTGATAGCGTGATAGAACCGATCTTGTAATAGCAAGATTATTGTTTTCCAGGTGTAAGAGCCAGCACCAGCACGTGAGTAAAGAGCTGTTCGCCACTGAAATATTACTATTCTTCGGAATGCTGTTGTCCCAGCTTACTGCCTTACTGGTCCGTATTTAATTTATCTTTTGTTTTGTATGGTTTAGTAGTATTTTTTCAACCTATATAGAAAGAGGAACAAAGGTATATTTTGCTACGTCGTAACTAGGCTACGCTACGCTACGCTTCTACGAGACTTTAAATGAAGTTACTCATTTGACTATCAACCATTCATAGTTCACAAAGCTGTTAAGTACTGTGTTTCTTCTTCATACTAATTAGTGAATTTATGTTTTATTTATCGTGTATATAAGTTAATAATTTCTATTCAGGCAAATGATCGGAATATGACACAATTGTGGACGATGTTCATTACATCAGTAACTACATGTCTCGCGTTGGGGTTCTTCATGTGGAATGGAGGCGATATAACATTGGAGGTAACCTACCTACAAATGTTAAAACAGTGTTTAATCATTATATTATAAAAGTAAATAAATACGAGTTGGTGTATTTATGTAGAGATTTAATACTTTCAGGCATCAAAGTTATCGGAGGCGATGTACTGTTCAGGCTGGCAGAACTGTTGCGGGCAATCATCTGTTCGCATCAGAAATTTAGTGGTCAACGCATTAAGGCAGGCTCAGGTAAATAAGTAGCAGGTACCTACTAAGAAACAACTATCCTTATTTTTTAACGGTAAGTATTTACGGAACTAAAACGAAACAAGCAAGAACTTATTATTATTCAAACCAATTTCCAGTAAAGTTTGCACTGTAATTAAATTATGACATGATGAATTAGCTTTAGATAGCTTTATTTGACTACGGATGCGCAAAAATAGCACAGGTGGAAAATAGATAGCAATTGCCAGTATAAGGCGACCTTGGAAAAGATTCTGATCAGTAAGGAATGATCTAGCAATAATTATCTATCTCTCTTACTGCGGATCGTCGCGACCACCACAGATAAGGCCCCTGTTGGGCTAATGTTCAGCCGATCAAGTGCAAAAATGTTCCGCGGCCTGGAGCAGAAGAAGGATCAGGGTTGTATTCAGTCAGTACCTAAGAGTCTGACACTTTCAGACAGGAAGAGAGCTTTTCAGTATTCTGAAAATCTTGTTTTATACTTTTTCAGCGTCGGCTTTTGTCGTAGTTGAATTTTAGTTTTTATACTTTTTATTAAGACGGACCATTAAGACATATTATGACATATCATTAGAAAGGTCTAGGTAGGAAAGGTACGAGGGAACAGATGAACATACATATTGCCGTAGTCGGGTCGGGAAAAAAGAGTGTTTGTACTATTTTTTAAAACTATTTTTTTCAGAATCCAGTGATTTATAAGACATTGGGTATTGTGGAATTCTCCTACGAGTCATACGTCAGGGTATGTTTTTATATCGCAAAATAATTGTGTTTTACATAAATGGAAGAATGACTCTTATAACACCTTCTTTACAAATCTGTATACTATTATTTTAATCTATATTTTACTTATTTTCAGCTTGTTAAAATGCCATACACTGCAGTCTCGGTATTTTATTGAAACCTTACGTAAAATAGTTACACCGAATAGCTGGATAGCAATATTTAAACTTAACTAACCTGCTTTGTTAGATCACCACACTTTTTTTTTATTAAATAAATTATTGACACATACATAAGAATATTAAATTTATACCCCTTCTCTTCTACAAATTGTTTGGCAACGGGTCAATCTACCCATTTCAGTGAAGTGGCAAAGTCAGGCGGATTCCATCATTGGTAGTATTTTCTAGCACCACGATATTTGGCGATACCAATTAATATAACTTTTACCAATATGTTATATTAAAGAAAACATAAAAACAATCCTTTTAGCTTAAATAGGTGGTTAGGCCCTTTATCGAGTACTGTGCAAATCTCTGGGCGGGGTTGCCTCAGTATCAGCTTCTCCCTTTGGACCGCATTCAGCGAAGGGCCGCTGTTCGAATAGTTGACTGCCCTGATGTCTTAGTCTGGCTGGACTCTTTGGTATTGCGTAAGGATATACCCTCGCTATGTGTCCTATATTGCCTATACCGCGGGGAGTAATTGTTCGGTTTGATTCCTGACACATGCTTTCGCCATCGACCCGCGCGAAAACATTATATAGATTGTTGGCACTCAGTTGGCAGTCAATAATTGTGCGATTTCCACCAACCTTTTTGTCTCGCACAGCAAACATTTGGAATGATCTTTCGGCGGCTGTATTTCCGAACCGATACGACCTTACAACTTTCAAGACCTGTGACTCCTCTAGTGAGGCAGGTAGGTATCCATGGATTGGGCGTTGATCACTTACTATCAGGTGATCCGTACGTTCGTTTGCCATCTATTCCATAAAAAAACTTACTGCCATTTCCTAAACTTCATTGTCATTTACTAAGCTATCAATGTCATTGTCAAATCTATCAAACGCATCAGAAAAAAATAACAGGGTGTCATACATGAAATGGTTTGATTTAATGAAATAATAAGCAATTTTCAAGTTTGTATTATAATAAAAGGTGTGAATTTGTGATATGTGACATTATAACGAATAATGAAAATATCCTCGAATTACAACCAAGAATTTGAGGTTATATTATTGTTTTAAACGAAACCGGACGACTCACTGATACCTTCGTATAAGTTTTGCAATAAATGAAAATATAAAATTACTTATCTAACAAGCAAAAGATTTAGAGTGGAAGTAGAAAATTAAATAAGCAATTAAACTGTGAAACTGTTTTGAGAGGAGCTGTGTATGTAGAATAATGAGGACTTACGCAAGGAAGCGTCCAAGCAACCAGCTTATTGAAGATGTACATGAACTATGTCGACTGTGTCTAAACAAGGCTATGGAAGCCATGCCTATTTTCACAAATGATTCTGATACAGTCTGTGCAACATTAGCAATCAGAATCATGATATGTGTGGGGTTGGAGGTAAGTTTGTATGATTTTGTGTGACCCCTCTTAATATGTCCATTGCAAAACATGGACAGTGAAATTAGCTAGCTATAAACAAATCTGTAACTATATCTCTCAGATCTCCTAGTTCTTACAACATTGACTTGACTCAAAAATTTGTCCATCATTTTTTTCTTATTAGAAACAAACACACCATCTAGCTAGAGGTAATAGAGAATATTATGTCTTTATATGTCGTGCAGTTCCTTGATCAACACTATTAATTTTTTCAGGTCACAAGAGAAGAATGTTTGCCAAACATAGTTTGTATAGACTGCTATAATGAATTAAACAAATATTACACATTTAGGAAAAAATGTGAAGCTACATATCAGAAACTTAAATCTCATGTTCTAGCAGTGAAAGAGAAACAGTATAAGCAGAAGATTTTGATGGATGTAGAAAAAAAGAAGAAGTTGGAAGGGGCAAATAAAGAACAACTTAAGTTTGTAGTAACTTTTGATAAGGAACATTATACTGAAGTACACGAAGTATTGAACTTAAATGGTGTAGCGCAAGTGAATGACTCAATAGATGTATGTACTTTGTGTATTGTCATGTTTAAAACTATAGTGTACTCTTTAACTATTGTGCTATTTTTGGATTTTAGACATTACCTGGTTTAGTTAAAGTTGATAGTATAGAAGAAGAAAGCAAAGGAAAAGAGACACTTGAACAAAGTATTGAAGAACAAGTAAGTACAATGAGAAATTGGACTTTTAGTATTCCATTATTTATTGTGTTGATTTCACATAATGTAGAATTTATTTTGTCTTTAAGTATTATATTTAGTAATATTAGATGTGGAACTTAATTAATTCAGTTTATCTAAACATCTTCAAAATTCAATATAAACTAATAAACCAAGCGTATTATATTCTAATTCTAATCACAGCTCATTTACTTTCTAGCAAATAGAAGAATTAGATTCATCAAAGCCTGACATAAATACATTCTTATCAACAATGTTGGTAGAGCTGGGTATACTGACACAGCATGACAATTGCCTGGAGTTGACCAATCAGAATATTAAGTCTTTGGAACTGGAAACTGGAGATGGAAATCAGATTACACTGGAACTGGTGGAGGAAGATGATGTAGAGGAACAAGAACAGGTCAGTTTAAGACTTTATAGTTTGATTATATTGAATAGGTATAAGTTTCTTATTTTTTTAATAAATAAATTGTTGCAGCCTCTCTATTTCAATGGAGAATATGTACATTGTTTTCCCAATAAAAATAAATTAAACCTTTGATAGAGATGAGATAGAATTAGAAATTGTTAATTAATATGTTGGTTTTAATTTACAGCCACCAGATCCGATAATCGAAAATGAGTTGCCGAGTACATTAGGGATAAAAGAAAAAAGTGTAGTGAAACAAGAAAATAATCTCACGAACTATATTGTAACTAATACTGTTACCAAAAAAGACACGAAAAGTGACAAAAATGACAAAAAGAAGTAAGTCTTATGATTTTCCAATAAATTGTTGGTCATTAATATTTTATTTGTGGCAAAGAAAATAACTATAAATTTAATTGTTGTCGAATATCTGAACTAATGTTAGGTATAAGAAGTAGCAATAATGGTAGTAATAGTAGACTCTATAGTCCGTGGTGAGTTAAGCTGTGTACAAATTATGCGCGTCAGCCCCGCGAGGCAATGTTCAGCCAATCTTACTGTTAGAATTTGTAGAACGAGCCATCAGCTTTGCCCAAAATCGCGCGTAGCAGTTCATTTAAGCCACATGCCTATTCAAGTATGGATGTGCTTAGTCGGCTGCCGCTTTTGTTGTGATATATCAATTTATTGTAAAAACAATGAATGAAAATCCGTTATATGGCAATATGGCCTGCAACTTCTGAAAGACATGATATACGGAGCCTTTGAAGACACTATCAAAAATTTGTAAGAGTAGACGGCTGCTATCATTGTCTATCGTGTTCGCGCAAGCCAATCAATACACCAAAACTATACCGTTCAAACTGTGCGCGAGCGAACGACTGAAGCTTCTTTGATGCGATCGCGAAACCTACAGCGAGCGCTTTGCCCCGTGGCGCGGCGATGTTGGAGGGTTTGCCGCGCGTAATATGTCCGCAGCCTTTGTCTATCAGTATCTAATGGCAGATAGAGACCAGAATGGGATTAATATAGATTCTGTTAGGTTGGTTCCTTCCAGAAATAAGACCATGTTACTGTTATTCCAGTAAATTTATTAACACTGGATCTTGGTGCGAGGAGTGTGGCAAGCGACTGGCCTCAAAGAGTGCTCTAACTCGTCACATGCGCATTCACTCCGGGGAGAAACCTTTTACTTGCGACATGTGTGGCCGCAGCTTCGCGCAGAGAGAAGTCATGCTTCGACACCTACTGGTGCACGAAGGTAATCTCTTTGAGAGCCCATAGGCTTTCTTACATTTAAAATAACACTTTTTATAAGATTCCTCCTGACGAATCTACAGTTTGGAATGCTTGCACGTAGCTTCACTGTCAATCACTCAATTTAAGCTTGTGTGTCTCTCTAACTAATGACGTTCAATATCCCCTCCTTCCATAGAGCGGCGACCCTACGCGTGTTCATCATGCGACAAGAGTTTCACACAGCGCGGTGCACTGGAGGCACATGCGCGTGCGCACGCCCCGCCCTCCGCGCGCCCCCTGGCGCTGCATCGATGCGACCGATGTCCTAAAGTCTTCCTGCACTCCTCCGGTATGTACTTACTCACACACTGAGTCAAGCCTTTCCATTATTTGCTAAAAGATGATAAATAATGTTAGTACTCTAATGATTTGGATTCAAGTGCTTACATATATTTGGTACATTACTCTTATTTTAAGAAACTGATTTTAATTATAATTGATTTTGGTTAAGATTTGTTCTTTCCATACATTGGCTTGTTGAACGTGCTAGTTTAAATTGACCCTTGTCGTGTGATCGAGTTTAATGTTACCAAAATAAGCTAGTTTCACAATGAAAGCAATGTTACTTGCAGGTCTCAGCCGGCACATGATGATGCACAACGGTCGCGTGTACATGTGTGGGGCCTGCGAGAGAGAGTTCAAGGACAAGAGCTCCCTACTGCGACATCTCCGCAACGCTAACCACGCACCGCGCGGCTCCCCGCCTACCTGATCCACGCCCAACCTACGAAGGACATGTCTCAGTGCATTCTAGCATTTTCAATAATCGAGCCTCATGCTGTGATACTTGAACTCTCGACAGCCCAGCCACCGCAATGCGTTGACTTGATATTTAGTTCGTAGGGTGAGTTCTAAATTGTAACGCGATGCCCGAGTATTAAATGATGTGCCAAATCAACCTACATCACCTGTTGATGCATATCGGTTCTCGATATTTGTGCGATACCACTTAAAAGTATCGCGGCAGACATTTATTTATATGTAGCAGAATTTTGCCTTATCAAATAATAATATACCTACAAAACGAGTTGATCTCATGATCTGCTGATCAAATTTCACTGTCTTAGAATTGAGGCACAAGTTTCTAATGAACTGTTAGCTTAAATTTATTCAGATGAAGTGATTTAAATCATATGATATACATTTCTTGGACATTATCAATTATTTGTAAATCTTTAAACAAATGTAATATAATTATATGCAATAAGAATATTTAAAATAATATGGTCTTCTCACACGTACGATGACCTAAAATGTATTTTATGACGATTAGAAAGAATTATTTTAAGAAATAAAACACTATAATTTATTTACTTAAATATTTTATTGGAAAAAAATTATATTAAATCCAAGGCCACGTGGTATTGTAAAATTTTAAGAAAATAATGACAAGAAAATATCGGAATACTGGTGCAAGGCCTCGGCGCCGCTCGTCCGGCGGCCCTCGGGCCTCAGACAATGGACATGTGACGGATGGCACTTATATTAAACGAAACACGAACAATTATATTTTCATAACATTTTAATTTTTATAAAAACCAAGTCGACGCCACCGCGCATTGTAACTTATGGAATGCCTTCTATTCACTTAAAATTATATACTCCCTACAAGCATACATTTTAGTATCTATTTGAAATTTTGTTCAAGAACAAGTGGGAACAGTTTCGTAGGCCGATACATTGTCTCTCTGAGACTATAGTAGTATAGTACATAACGTATTGGTCGCGCGACCGCTGCTCTCTATAACATAATATCAGGATAACAGACCGACTATGACGGATACCCGCTGAAACTGAACTGGAAATAGTAATTACACTTGCAGCTCTAACTCCCACATCTAGATTATAAATGATTATAAAAATAAATAAGGGGCGTCGCCCCCTCCCTTTCACCGCTACTCATTCGGACAAGACACTTCGGATATTGTTTTAATTTTTTGAGCAAAACTCGTGACGTCAATGTATGACCAACGTAACAGGTGTCGCAGTGCCCGTGCGTACGGTACGATACAGTACGGTACAGTACGGCACCGCACGGTACCGCACCGGCCGGAGAGCGGCGAGCCAGGCTCCCGTCTGTCCATACCTTCACTCACACATCCGACAAACACTAAAATAATCAACAGACAAATTATAATAACCAAATCAACTACCACAATAAAATAGAAGCCGCAGCACACAGCGACTTTATGACTCGTACTAGATCCACCCGTACGACACTTAACTTTATATGAATAAAATCCAAATTATTTTCAAATGATTATTATTAATAAAAACAATTCTGTGTGCTTTGATTTAATGATTTATCTGGCTCTCGTAAACATACATCTCTGTAGCAAGTGATCCCTAGAATGTTCACATCATTAGGTTATAGCACAACGGTCTAAAATAAAATTACTAATAAGTAATAATAATCAATATTTACAGTTAGTTTCGACTACGACGCCCGACAAGCGAGTGTTCGTACACACTTTATGTAAGCACCGCTGAATCAAATGACCCTTTATAGTTGACAATCTCTTGACGACGGCAAAAGATATATATATTGCCTGGACGGTGTAAAAATTATATAAAAATATCGTTCGATCATCAACGTACTATCACGATCGTGGCCCGCACGCGGCCCAACCCGCCCCGCACCGCTTACAGTCTCCAGTTTATACAATGACCACTTGGTTAAGTGTCAAATTCAACGGAATGTTTGAAAATATATTTTTGGCACTTCAGATAATGAATAGGTCGGGCCGCGTGCAGGGCGCGACTCAATTATAAGCTTTACGCGAATAGAGTAAAGCCTACAATTGCTAAACTTATCCGCTTACATCTCTTATACGGTCGTCCACGACCTGTGGCGACTCGAGAGCTGATCTATGTATGCGTATAGCACAAAACGAAGAATAGTTACAATCGTATTATACAACTATGTAGAAAGGACTCGTAGTGGGCAGTAGAAGATATGCTGGGAGTAGGTGGTGGATCAGCCCCGGTGTCGCGGACAGTTGCTCTACATGTTCTCGAACTGGTCGACGCGTCTCTTGGTGTTGCCCTTGCGGATCTCGCGCAGAGTCTTGTATTTGTCACGTCCCTGGCGGACGTTCTCGCGATGGATCTTGTCCATTGCGGTCTCCTTGGTTTCGTCGCGGGACTGCGCCAAGTCTTGCTTTAGTGCCTGTGGAGATAACACTACAGTCAGTATGATGAACTTTAAGTATATTAAAACAGAAGAGAACTCTAAATATCCCAAATGAAAAAGCCCTACTGTATATAACGATAATATGGATGTCTGACTCCCATGTATAAAAAATATTGGAATTCTAGGGACTAAAGGAAGATATCAAAATAAAAAAAATAAGACTGATATTTATTTGGCTTAAGCACAAAGATTCTGCGTGCCGACTTTTACTGTTCTCAAAGAACTGCGAAAGTGCCAAATAAAATTTATTGTATTTTTTTAAAAGAATATGGGACAGATTTATTTATATAGACAATGAAATTATTCTTATGTTAGTCACAAATAATACTACTTTCAACCTGAAAATTGCAGACTGTTCCATATCATCTAAGTACAACTTTATTTTAGGTAAGTACAGGGTTAGAAAGGAACTACGCATCTACGCACCAATTTTCAGCAAAACCTGTTCAGTCTTCCTCGAGATATAAATATAGTACTAAAACGACTTTATCTTTAATCCAAACTAATATTATAAATACGAAAGTAACTTTGTCTGTCTATCTTTTCTTTACGCCTAAACTACTGAACCGATTTCTGTGATATTTGGTATAGACATAGTTTGGAACACCAGAAAGGAAATAGGAGGAGGAGGAGGAGAGTTCGGGCTGCGATTTCCAAAAATGTTGAGGAAGTAGCTAGTATAAATAGAATAAAGATGGTGGCTGACCTTGAGCTGGTTGTGGAGACGCTCGTTCCGCTCGGCGAGGGTGCGGCGGTCGGCGACGGGGTCGACGAGGTCGTCGGGCCCGCGCGCCAGGTCGCCGCCGCCGCCGCTCTCGGAGCCGGCGTCGGAGGCGGCGTCGGCGTCGGCGTCGTGGTCCTTGTCGGCGCGCTCCTCGGCCACGTGGTGGTGCTGCGGCGTGGTGGCGGCCAGCAGCGCGGCGGCGGCCTCGTCCTGCTGGCGCCGCGCCTGCTCCACCTCCTCCTGCAGGCGCCGCGTCTCGCTGTCCTTCAGCTCCACCTCCTGCTGGATGCGCGACACCTCCTCCTGCTTGGCGCGGATCTCGTCCTCCAGCTTCTGACGCTCCGCCGCTTCCATGTTCTGTACGAGGGTGACAACGCTAGTCTAAGTATATTGGCCCGTTGCCCACAGTTCGGATCCCCGGTGTGTACTGGACACGAATACGATACCTTAGTCTCCTCGAGGCGTTGCATCATGGCTTGCAGCTCGTTCTGGCGCTGCTCGAGCTCTTCCTTGGCGGCCTGCAGCTGGCGCAGCTGTTCTTCGAGACGTCGGATCATTTCCTGCGCCTCCAACAAGTTGGCCTGTGAGCGCTCCATCTCCTCCTGCATTTGCCGCAGTCGGTCCTCGTACTCTTGTTGTTTCTTTTCTGCGCGCTCACGGGCTGCGATTTCCAATTGGAGTTTTTCTCTGTCATTTCAAAGTTAGTTTTGTTCGTTAAGCACAATCTAGCCAAAGAAAATATTGTTCTTAACAATAAAATATAACGTTAGAAATGTAGTAACCTCTGCGCCTGCTTGGCCAGCTTCTCCTCCCTCGCCTGAGCCTTCATCTGCTGCACGTCGATGGTGTCAGGCTTGCGGCGACGCATGTAGAGCTCGTGGTTGCCCATGCACAGTGCCAGGATGCGCTTGTTCACGCGCACGCGCGGAGCAAAGAACACGAAGTCTGGCGCCTTCTTGTCGATCGGCTTGATTATAAACTTGCGGTCGTTGAATGATATGTTACGGATTTCTGACCAAGGGAAACCGATTTTGGGCGTAAGTCTAAAAAAAGAAAGTTGACGAGTTTAGAATTATATGGACCATAGGTTTTGCGAACAGCATCGTGTGTTGTAAGTGAATACTGACTTGTCATCCTTTTCGTAGATGTTCAGACCGAGCGCGTCTACACCGAGCCACAGCTCCGTGTTTTTCTTGTTGCGGATCTCGAAGTAGTTGACTCCGTACATCTCCAGGTCCTGTGCAATCTTCAGGTACTCCATCATGGCGTCCTCGCGCAGCATGCCGCGGTGCTCCTGCCACCAGTTCGTGATGCTCTGCTCCCACTCCTCGCGGGACATCTGTATTAAAAAGCATGTTATTGTTAGTAGGTCAATGCTGATAATGTAGTCTCATGCTTGTTGGGCATGTTCCGGAAGTATGTACCTTATGTTGGTCGGTGACACGCTGGGGCAGCAAGCGGTCGTTGGCGAGGAAGCCGGGGCCGTGCACGGCGGGGTTGTGGTCCCCGTGCCGCGCCTGCACTGCGTACGACGCTAGTAGTACTGACGTCTCCGGCGGGCAGTATATTTCATCCGATAGGATCGCGTTCTTTACCTAAATGAAATAACAATATTTTATAGCAAAACGAAAATTCACTTATATTACCTCGATGCTAAGTTACTGCAAAATATTGCGAATGCTTTCAGACCAATGACGTATTATATATAGACACGTCATGAACCAACATCGCGGGGCTTAAAAACGGCGACAATACTAGATAACTACTTCTACGAGTAAAGAAAGGGAAAGAAAATATGACAACGTATAGTGGAATGCCTTTGCTAGAGGGAGATAAATATACATCTTCAGATAGGCCGACGGCACGTGACTATACCTTCATGCGCCGGCCGCCATAAGATGGCGGGCGCCGGCGTCGAAAAAAATAAAATAAAAATAGGTTGTTTGGTGAACTTACGCATGAAATGACACATTTTTGTCTTTAACTTTTGGAGTTTATTTTGTACATCGTCTGAACACACACGACGACATGCTTTCTTTATGTTTCGCACAGGTTTACACACACGATATAAATTAAAAACAAACGTAGCGTCGCGCGGCAGGTTGGTGCGTAAGCGCGATGTTGTCAATTGCCTTCATTTCATGTTGCCATTTTAGAGCGCGGACAACGTATCTATAGTTTTATACATCATTGTTTCAGACTGTATAAATTGTACATTTCCATGACAAATGAAATAACAAAGTACCCGCATCGATTCTTAATAAAACAATGGCGAATTAGAATTCCCTTTCTTTGAGTTCTGCTAATAGATTCCAATTGATGATGGCAGTTAGCGAGCGATACCACGAAAGGGGCTGATGTAACGAGGTACAAGCAAGTTGACCTCTCTGATTGACCCTATTTGAAAACCACACCACTCAAGGGTCGGTTGGACGAGCACGGAAATGGCAAGAATAGCCAATTATGGAGAATATACAAATACCCAGTTAGAGGCCTTCAGTCAACAATGGGAAGTAGGGCTAAATACAACAATCGAAGTAATGACAGGTTGCGAGCCCTGACCCCTCAAGCAGAATTATCTATAATTTATTTGTGATGTCTAAACACATGAGTGGATTACTACATAAAATTATTCTATTAACTGTTGGATAAATATGTATACGCAAAATTTTATTCATGAAATCTCCGCATATACAATTTTATACTTCTGGATACCGATTGGTCTCTACAATTTGTTTTCGTTCAATGCATGCCATGGTATTATGAGCTCTACTTTTTGTGTATTGTTGTAACAAATTTCTTACCTGAAGGTAGAACAGTTTGAGTGTGATCTCCTGGATAAGTTCGTCTGCGACATCCTCGGGGTAGAATTTGGCGCGGAACTTGAACTGTAGTGGGTTTTCTTTCTTTACGTCTTGTTGCATCACCTGTAATTAATATTATATCATTAGGATCTGAAATACTTTCTTTTAGATAATTTGTTTCTTTTTTTACTGAATCTGTATCAACGTAACGCGGACGGCAATCTGCAGAAGATTCGAAGATAATAACAAGCACACACACACACACACAGTAAATCAGTGAACATCGTTATGTATCTTACCCATCTCGAGAACGGTAGCGACCCTGACTTCGTTGTGTGCCACGTAATCCAGGGGAAGCGTTAAAAAGGCAACAATTAATTACAATTCATCGCCATTATCTGACTTATCATTTATTTTAAATGCACACAACAAAAAACTCAATTACAGAACGATAAAAGGAAATATGTTTATTAATTACAATAATAATTAGCAAGGTATAAATACGTCATGTAGTGATAATATTTTTCTCATAATCCATTAATTGGCAATAAAACACTGTTTCTACGAGGAAGGAGTAGCTAATACAGTAGCGTTTCTCACGATGATAAAAATAAGCTGATTTGTCTTACAGTTCTAGCTAAATACGGTGTTCATAATAACAATGCAGGATGACTTAAATCTTACAAAGTTTTGGCGGATGGACAATATCTACATATTGATGATATTGTACGATTAAAATTGTACTACGAGTGACATATAATTCTCAATTAACAAGATGACTAATACAATTTTGGCAGGAAAATTTTAACGAACTGTAGTCATTGGAAATTGAAAAAATAATCTGTATATACATATATACATAAAAGGCTTGTATATTATACTAACAGTTACTAACAAAGTCACAATTATGAGCCGATTTTGGTAATCGTATCTATAAATTATACCAAAAATCTGCGAAGGCGTATGGGACAATAAATTCAGCATTGACCAATATATAAAAACAAAAATGTTTGTAAATCATCCCATTGAACGTGTGAGCACGCCTATGTGGACGACTATTATAATTGCCTGTAAGCCGTTTAGATAATGTAGAACGAATTGTAAATGGGGACTCATTTTACACCCAGTTGTGGGTATGTCAGTTTAGAAGGTACCAGTAAGTGGGTTAATAGAATTTGATCGTTTAAGATTTCTGTTAATGAAAGGTTAGTGACCGCGTTGGGACAGCTGTAAATTCATTAAGGCTATGACAGTCGTATTATTACAACTACAAAACGTAAATCAAGTACAAGGCGAGACATGGCCGTGTAATTATATTTTCATGTAGGTACTTGCTTTACATAGAAAAATCGTTATTAAATTTCATCATCACGTCTATAGATACAGCTATATCAACATTCCCAGATTAATATAAATTAAGGTAAAATGTTTGATAATTTGATATCTTGTTACTTGTTAGTCATACGTACCTATAGACTTTAGATTATATTATTACGTCAAGGATTAGCAAATAAATTATATTTATTCTATACCTTCTTACATTTACACTATAATTATGTGCCAGACGTGGACTGAGAAATAACAAACTCATTGAATTTATAAAATAAAAATGTAGTGTTTTAAACATGTTCATGAATATTTACTGTATCCGCACGTTCGCGTAAATAACTCGTAAATCTTGATAAAACAGCTTTTTGAAGTGGAGTGTCATCCTTGGCAACGAGTATTGTTTATAGTAGAAGATGTATTATATATTATGAAGTGAACACCGAACACGTACTCATGACAATATAAACTTTTAAATTTAATAACCCATTGGTTTTAGTCACCATAGTTGTTTGAATTTAATCAACAAATAATTCAAATCATCATGAATAAAATGACCTTATCAAAGTTGCTTTCGAGTCATGATGAGGATAATGATTTTATTAGTGGGCCATTAAGATACTCGAATTAATAAAATTAGCTCTATTATGTCTGTATCCATTTTAGTAAGAATGCAAGAAAGTAGAAGGTCATTTTTTTCAAGCTCCCTATTTACAAAAATACTTTACTATATTTTTACCGCATTGCTAGAAGAGCCGATTTTAGCGGTGTATGCAAAATCGACCTTGCAGTTTTAAACGACATTCACAAATTTTACTAATATCACATTTTAATAATTATTTTAATTCAATTACTTATATTCAAGCATCGTTTTACAACTTTCATTTCAATTGAAAGTTTTTTAAAACTCTCCTTTTCTAAAGGCATTCCGAAGATTTGCAAATTGACCAAACAGAATCAGCTAACTAAACGTAACGAATCAACTCGGTTATGATCGGTAATATTGAATTATGATCTAACGAGAATGATACTTGTTGGATTACAGGGAACTTAATACTCAGTACCGTGGAATGGCGGACCTGCTACTATTACACAAATACATTCATATATACAGCTACCAATAAATGTCTAAAAACAGGAATCTCGTAAACAAATTCTAAAATAATGATCGAATAGAAAATTTCGAATATTTACTTTGAAATTCATAAAAAGTCAGATTATACTTAGATAACCATAGATAAATCTGCTTCGTATAATATTGACGTAAGATTTGACGTCACGGACACTTGCGATAATTCCAATCCTATCGTACACTTTATATGCCCAAACATAACTCCTTGAGAGTGAAGAGATATAGCAAGTACTTTATTTCACAGTAGCAACTACACAATCTACTCGTATCGCTAGCTTAGCCTTATACATTTCCTGTAGCTTCCAGATCCAGTCTTACCAGATCTTCGGCTCTGTCGTAGGCAGCTTCTTCATCTTCTTCCTCGGGAGTTATTAGTTTCTTTACAGCAGACGTAAGCACTTTGCCCGTTTTCTCCACAATCGACTCAGGCTTGTAACCACATTAAACATCCAGCTGATTAATTGAAACCTTAGCGTGATTCCTTAACTGATTTTGCATTAGATTCTACTATTGCAAAACATTTATATGCCTCAATAAATTTGAAACTGTTGAATAAACTTGGTATTTGGAAAGAGCATAATATAAATGTAGCAAAAATACTCCTCGATGTCACAGAAGTCGTGACTCGTGACTCTCTTATACTACAAATACCCTCATCGAACATCTGCCATGACCCGAGTGGAGGAAGACGGCCTGTTAAAATTGCTTTGCTTGTGCATTTTGTATGTATATTTATATTATGTTCTGTGTTCTTAGACGCTCGCGCGTTGAGCAACGAGCGTCGTGGGAGCGGCGAAAGTACGGTCGTCGACCCCGTCAATGATCGGCGTACAATCAGCTGTTCTTATGCGCGAATACCGATGATAAAGATTGCATTGGTGTCAATCAATTTTAATTATTATTTAAATTTTCATATAAGTACGCGACACTATTTTCATAAAGTGTCATTATTAAAGAGCAAAATAAATACGTGGCACATCAAGTTCATTTTTATCTTACCTAGGAGACTTTGCAGTACCTACTTTTTATTTTAAAAGACGTTTATACAGCATGAATTCCCGGTACGTGATCGCACTAAGGAAAACAATAGAAATCAGCATATGTAGATCAGAATCAAATTTTTTTTTATTAAATAGTATCTATGAGGAAAAAATGAGACAAGTTTTACCGTCAACGTCAACAAAGTAAATAGGTTTTGCCTATAGATGTGTTAATAGAATCAGTATATCAATCGTGAGTGATATTTCTTATAACTACCATTTATTGAGAAATCCGTGTTGTGGAAGAGGAAAATGAAGTACATGAAAATATGCTGGGTTTTTCATCAATAAACCTCTTATTCTAATCATGAATGCATTCGCGCACGCATCTGTGTCATCCAATGGGCGTAATGTTAGACAGCGATGTCTACTTGGTTGTCTCTGTCTATCATAACCTAGTTCGCGGACGACGCCATGGCCCGCCACCTTGCTCGACCCTTCTCTCAACTGTTGCATTCGCACAATTGCGTGTATTAGGAGGAAAATGCTTATGGTTTGTACTGGAATTTTAGTTATTTCCATAATAAAGATTTGAGTTTGCTTTGAAGGGCAATAGCAGTATTTAATATCATAAACATAGCTGAACTCGATATCACGAGAAGTTCACAGCCCGTCCCAAGTACACGACAACCGCAAATCGGGTTCTCTATTCACCACGTATGACACCCGAGACATGGCATTGTTATGCGTTAAGGAAACAGCAAGGTCGTCTGCAGTTGGCGTCATGGCACTTTCACCTGTCTACCGAACTACTTGAAGAAAACCTCATTAACCTACAAATAGTCACAAAAAGTCCGACTCGAGAAGGTAGTTATTGATGTTAGTTACGTGTCACGAGCGTAATCCATCAGTCGGTTTGCAGACTTCTACAAAGTCAAATTTATTTTTGCATAATGAGCACCTGTTTTAACGTAGTCAAGGGCATGGTATTGTATGGTGGATAGTCGTGATGATCGCACCTGGTGCTTGGCATTCGGCGTGGGAACGAGGTCACGCGGGCGCACTGTTGCGCTTCGCTGACCGCGCTTCATGTACGTTTGAACCTGTCGACTGTAGACCCTAACATACAATAACAAACATACTCTTCAAGTACCAGCTACGGTAAACCATTGAACTACACCTTAAATATTTGGAATTCCGTCGGTGAGTGTAAAGAAAGTGGGCAACCGCTGTCGCCTAGCACTCAATTGAGTTAGCAACCACGAAACAAACATATCAGTTTTGACGATAAGAGAAGACGTGTACCGACTGACTCATAGACGCAATGTCGTTATTGAAGTTAATTTAATGATACAAGTGTAAATCATGTTTAAATTCTGACCTCCAGTTTCTATATATTTCGGTTATTAGAAGTGTTTTATAACTGGACAGCGTTTAGAAAAGAAAAGGAAAAAAATCTTCAGTGTTTGCAACGATTTGCTTCAAGGTCAGTGCGATAGGAATTAAGTAATCGTTGAATTCCATCCACTATTTAATATCTATGATAACATTCCATTGGTGTGTTATTTAGTGACGTAACGTATCAGCGTCACAGCGCTACTATAGGGACGGCACAAGAAGGCAGAAATCATTTTTAATGTTTGAGATGATTCGGAAGAGAGTAATGCAAAAGTAATATACCTACA